ACACACACACACACACACACACACACACACACACACACACACACATATATATATATATAAACATACACTTTGACAATTTATCTTTACGTTCTTGTTATAGTTTCAATCAATTTCGTCATTCATGGGTAAATTAAATTTTACAAAGTAACAAAAAGACGCGTTTGTATCAGCATAAACTTATCATCGCCAGCAAAGCCATTATCTTTCTTATAAATTAAACACATCTCAGTTCAGCTTACAAATAATTAGGTTTTTGATAATATTTTTGTAATATATTTTCTTTTCAAACACTTTTCTTTATAGTTTATTGTCATCTTTATTATTACTCATCTTATTCGTTATATTAATAGTGATGGCGGTTGCATCAGCATCAGTTTTAATCAAAGCAATTCCTGATTCTTTCTTAACTAGAGTGGAGGTGTTAGCAATGGCTGAGCTGTTGCTAACAGCTACATAAGATGCCGTGGTCATAGATACAGCTGTTACATTAGCTGTAATATGAACAGTAGCTGCGGTTCCATAAGCAGCTGTAGTGGCTACATGGGCCTCAGAAGCAAATGATGGCAATGAAGTTGGTGCCGCTGATGACAAGAATGATGAAGAGGACGCAAGCTTTGGTGGAGGTTTGTTTTGAGGATTGAGAAAGTTTTGAACTTGTTGCATCACCTTCTTTCTTTCTTCCGCTTTTATGTCCATCATTGTTCCCTTGGTTTGGAGATTGTTCATGCTGGCACCACCAATGCCTACCACAACACTTTTTGCACCTCTGGCTAATGTGCTACTACCAGCAGTTGATGACTTGATTGTGGCAGAACTTGTCAACGAAGTACTGTTGTTGTTATTGTTACTTATGCCGGGCGGCATCCATTTGTCGACTTTGATGCTGCTGGTGTTGTTAGGTCCTTTCCCCAATGTTGGATTAGTCTGCAATGGGTGACGTACGTTGCCCGGAACTCTGCTGCTGCTATTGCTGTTAAATGCTTCTCTTAACAAGTCTAGGTGATGTTATAAAGATAAAATGACATTGTGACAAAGTGGTAGCTAAATAAACAAATTTTTTCTATATAAATTTTATCGATTTAAAAAAATGTATAAATCAAAATAAGATAAGTTAACCAGATCGTCCTGGCACGAAATGATGAGAAGGATATGATGGGAGAGGAAATCTTTCATTTATTCCACCCAACATTGGTGGCGGCTTGTAAAATGACTGCTGCTGATAATTATAATGGTTGCCTTGGTAAGCAATTACATCATTGCTGGATTTCCATTTTTGTTGAGGTTGATTCGATGTTGTTAGTTTTGTTGATGAAACTGTTGTTGTTGTCACTGCAGTTGTAGTTGAGTTAGATGAAGTTGTCTGCATCTTTGTTGAAATAATTGATGTTGTGGCTGATGATGATGCCACCAATAGAGCTGATGAAAGCGGCTGATGTTTAGCTGATACTAATGATGTAGATGATTTCGTTATTAAAAAAGCTGATGTTGCTGATGTAGAGTTTAATTCATTTTGATTGCTAACACCAACACTATTATTGTAGCCTACAAACGTAGATGAGCTGCTGAGTGATACAGTAGCCTGGTGCCTCTTAAATTGATCTGGAAGATATGTAGATGAAGATGACTGTTGCAATAAAGTATTCGAATGTTGTTGTTGTTGTGAATGAGGTTGTGGTTGATGTTGAGGTTGATGTTCAGTACTTGATTTATCAGAATTCAAACTGCACCCAAACATGTGTTTTTGTGGCTGCTGATTTGATCCATAACGGTCTTTATTTATATTCAAAGCTGAGTTGTTCATGAACTGTTGTAAATTTTGTTGCTGCTGATTGAAAAGGTGATACTGGGAGGCTACATTTTGACTGGCAAATGCTGAGTTGAAACTACTGTTAATGTTGTTTTGAGTCATCAAAAACGAAGAAGCAAGCAGAGAAGCTTGATCATGTTGCTGGTGTTGTTGCTGATGTTGCATGTGATACGGTAATGTTGACGATAAACTTTTGTTGATGCTAACTGTATTGCTATTATTATTGGTTGAAGAAGTACTGTAGCTGGTGTTGCTAAGAATATTACCGCTACTATTACTAATATTTGCAGCTGTACTGTTGTTGGTCATGAGCAATCCGGACAACTGAAATTGATAAAAATAAACTGTAGGAAAAACCGAAACAAAAAATGAGACGATAACGAACCTGCAAAGTTTGAGCAGCACTGCCACCAGCTACGGAAGTATTTGCCACACTGGGCGATAGGTTCAATTTCTGTGATGGTTTGAAGGGTGGTGCTGTACATTTCAATTGAGACTGATTAGCCAGCTGTGGCAATTGGTTGCTATGGTATCCAGAAGCTGTAGGCGGAAAAACATTAGCAGCCGGTGTAGCAGCTGGTGTGGTAGCCGCTGATATTGCCACTTGCTGAATGTTGTATCCTAATTGATATTGTTGGTACGCAGGAGCCTACAATGAATTAACGTGTACTAAAATTAAATATAAATGCTTTTTAATAGTGGTAATCATACTAATCGTAAAGAATAATTCTTCAACCTGTTGCTGAACCAATGAGGTTGATCTCTGTTGATGCTGTGGCTGTTGTTGTTGAAAACATGATTGCTGCTGTTGCAGCATAGATTGGGGGTAAAATGTGGAAGACTGCATACCATGTATTGTAGTATTTCTTTGAAGAAAAAGACAAATATTTTAATAAAAAGAAACACATTAAATTTTTTTTTTAAATTTTGTAAACAAAAACCTTTGTGAAAGCAAGTGTGATCCAACTATTTGAGAGTTCGACAGGGACAACATAGAATCTGGTTGCAAAGCTGAAAAGCCTTCATAGCCATGGTAACTAAGTTGAGGTGCAGCAGGAAAGAGGGATGAATTTCCAATCAACTGACCATATTGGATAGTAGACATGGGATTGTTTGATTGCTTTGCTGATCCATTAGGTACTGTATGTTTGTGCAAGCACAATTGCACAAATATGTATGTGCATGTGTGTATGGACGTAAGCATGCGCTAATTATTATAAATAATTGGATTAATTTCTTAAAATCCCTATCTAAGCAAAATAGATGAATACTGCTGAAATAAAACTGTTATTCCCTATGGAAAACATTCGGTTGTAGCGAAAATAAATTGTATGATTTTTTTTAAATTTATAATTTTATTACAATTTTCAAAGAATATTTTCAAGGATATTGAGCTAAAAATATTTGTTATAAATTTGCAATTATTAACCGCACTGATTACACTGATTACGTACAAGAAATGAGTCGGCTCACTCGAGCATAGGAGCCAGAACATTTTGTCAAAATTTGACATTCAGCTTTGGCCATATTTAAGCCAAATATTAAAACTTTAAAATTTAAACGATAATTTAATAGCTGTTAAAAAAATAATTTTCCAATCGATTTTCATGAGTGTTTTTATTTTTACTGTAGCGCAGATCTTCAATTTAAATAGGGTATTTCTCCTTTTTTAAATTTTTATTTAGTAAGATTCCAATTATTTATTTTTTGGTTTCTTTGTTAGATAAATAATTTAATTTTAATTTAATAATTTATAAAATTAATGATTGAAAACAAATTTGCTGATAAAAGTGATAAAGTAGATCGCTAAAACTTTGTCAACGTAATTAATAGCTATGTTTTTTCTATTTTATACTTCAATGTCTTTAATTATTTTTTAAAATTTAAATGAATCACAAAAATAAATTTCAAATTCATTATTTGATGCATCTTTACTAGAAAAGCTCTCAAAATAAATACAAAATGATGAAAGCAGTTACAAGAAACAAAATAATGATTTTTCTTTATGTAGCTAATTAATGAAAATCTAAAACTTTTTTTGAAAATCTAGATCATTCAAAAACTATGTTATTTGTAGAATTAACGACATTTTGAAAATCTAGTTAGTAATAACTAAAGTCACCTTGCCTATACTGAAGGTGAATGCCTTAATAACTGCATTACAAATGTAGAAACCGTTGGTAAGTTAATAATAATCAGGGACCTCTTGATATGCTAAACAGGCCTCTCCAGCAACGCTCATGAGCATCATGTAATCAATTAATTATTGAAAAATATTTACAAAAAAGTCAACTAACAATATTGATGTTGCTGAGCTTGAGCCTTTATGGTGGCTGTCATGAGAGAAGACGATGAGGATGAAGCCATGATTGTGTTTTGTTGCTGAGGTTGTTGCGTTAAACTAAACAGGTTCCTGTACTGGTTATTGTAGAGGTCGTTGTGCAGGTTAGGAGTGGCTCCAAGAAACAAACTTGGCTGGCTAGCCGCAATAGCAACTGGGGTTAATAATGGAGGTGGTGCTTGAGTTGCTGATGGTGGCTGAGCAGCTGCTGCTATGTTGAAACTGTACTGACCAAACTGACAAATGATGTAAAAATACGGAATAAAAATGCAAAAGAAAAATTATATAAAATTTTTTTGTAAGTATGTATTGACTGACTTACCTTATTATCTTATTTAAAGTTTTTTTAATTGGTAGTAAGAAAGGGTTACATAAGGTGAAGTTATAATGCAAAATTAAAAAATTTTTTGGGAGTTGGAACCTGGAGTCGGGTATTTTTCATCCGATTCCGACACTCTGCTTTCAGTTCTAAATGTATAAGTGCATATACTGAAGATGCAAAAATAGTGAATTTGGCAAAGGTCACCTAGCTGTTGGTCCTGGGCATGACATAAAACTGCATCTACGCTGCCTTGCGTGCTTTTGAGCAAAAGGTTAGGCCCACCGCTTATAACTGGTGGTTGTCATCAGGATGGGCGTCCGGATGTAAAAACTTTTCCCCAAATTACTCTTATGCCATTACAAAGAAAATAAACGGCCCCTAGTCCCTAGCAGGCCTTAAGTGGTCAAGGGGTGCCAAGAATCCCTGGAAAGTATGTAATAGCGGAGGGATGTTGCAGAAAAATTCAGAATGGCCCTTCTATGGTACTTAGACTTGGAACGCTCAATGTTGGATCAGTGACTGGCCGCAGCATGGAAATCGCAAAAATCCTCGAGCGTAGAAGGATTGACATCTGCTGCCTTCAGGAAACCCGATGGAAATCGAATGGTGTCTGTCATGTCAACTCAGACAAAAAAAAATGTAAACTATTCTGGAATGGTCAAAAGACGGCCAAAAATGGTGTTGGAATCTTTGTTAGAGAACCGCTAGCTCAAGAAGTACTGGATATTAAAAGGATTAATTTACGTCTCATGGGGATCAAGCTTCGCATAGAAAAGCATACAATGATTATTTTTTCTGCATACGCACCAGAGACAGGCGAATCAGAAGAGATGAATAATGACTTCTGGGCTGCATTCTCTGACACCATCTCAACAATACCAAAATCTGAAACAATCCTGATTGGAAGCGATCTCTATGACCACGTTGGAGAAAAAATAGATGGTTTTGACAACGTACATGGCGGTTTTAGTTATTGAGAACGGAATGAAGATGGCAACCGCATCCTTGAGTTTGCTGAAAGTCACGAGTTTTGTTTACTGAACACATATTTTAGAAAGAGGTTGGAACATCTCATAACATACAAAAGTGGACCATCAGCCATGCAAATTGATTTCTTCGCTGTCAACCAACAACACCGAAGGCTATTCAAAAACGTCAAAGTTATACCTGGCGAATCATGTGTCGCCCAACATAGACTCCTTGTGACAGACCTGGTTGTCGAACTGTCAAAACATAAGTCTAAACAAATGCCTTGGAGAATAAAAACGTGGAAGCTAAAAAGCAATAATCATCGAGAAAAATGTCAACAGATTGTCGCCACACAGTTAGACCACCAATCGCAAGCCAGTACAGATTGGAGTACATACAAAACCGTTTTGATAAACGCTGCAACTACAGCTTGTGGGAAAACTGGTACAAAACGTCAGCATGAACGTGACACTTGGTGGTGGGATGACAGTGTACAAAATGCAATAGCTGAAAAGAAAGTTGCATACAAGCAATGGCAAAAATCAAAGTCTGTTGATGACCATAAAATTTTCCGTGAGAAGAACAACTATGCAAGACGTCAAGTTGCACTGGCTCGGACAGATCAGTGCAGAGAGTGGCTCACTAAAAGCAAAGGTGAACAAATGAAATCTCTGTATCGTATAGCAAAACAAGCAAAGCGTACGAAAAAAGACATAGTTGGTGCCTCATGTATCAAAAACGATAAAAATGAGATGGTTCTTGAACAAGATGAGATCAAGCTACAGTGGAGAGAATACTTCAATCGTCTGTTAAACGAAACAAATCCCATCAATGTTAACTTAGACGCTCCACCCATCGAAGGTACGATTGCAGACATCACTGTAGAGGAGCTTACAGAAGCTCTGAAAGCTATGAAGGATGGAAAGGCAGCAGGGCCCTCTGGACTCACAAATGACATTATCAAAGCATCTGGTACTGCAGGTATCCAAACGTTACTACAACATTGCCGTGAAATCTGGAGAAATTACATTTACAATTTTATATATGCTGATGATATCGTTTTAACAGCCACGTCTGAGCAGAATGCAGCACAGATGTTTTAAGATTGGAACACCAGACTCGCCGATCATGGATTCAAAGTCAACATCAGCAAAACCAAAGCAATGAGCACTGGTGAACCCATCCAATCCACAGCTACTGGACGATGGTCCTCTTCAGTTTGTAAAGCTGGTGTAGGTAACAATTCAATCAAGTGTTAGCAGTGTAACCAGTGGTGTCACAAACGTTGTTCAAAAATAATTGGTACTTTATCTAAAGTGTTCAATTTTGTTTGTCCTGCTTGCATCAATCCACAACAACAAATTCGAAATAGCAATGTTTTTGAAGCCATTAAGGTAGAGAAAGTCACAACGTTTCAATATCTAGGGGATATTCTGGATTGTACTGGAACAGCTGAAGACGCATACGTGCAGCCTGGAATAAATGGCATCTCCTTGCCTCTATATTGATGCGACGTGACATCCCACTACCACTACGATCAAGACTTTATAAATCTGTGATACGTCCGGTGTTGTTATATAGTGCAGAAACATGGCCAATGACAACCAAACTGGAACAACAACTTTAACGAACCGACATGAAAATGATCCGATGGATGCAACGAATTAGTCTGAAGGACTACATCAAATCTACCGTAATCTTGCGTCGTGCTGGTTTAGATGATATAAAAAACGAATGCCGGCAACACCGTCTGCGGTGGTTTGGTCATGTCAAACGAAGTGGAAACAGTGCCATAACTTCTCTTGCAGATGTTGTAGTACCTGGCACACGTCCCAAAGGCCGTCCAAAGAAGTCCTGGTCGCAAACAATCGAGCAAGACATGAAAGCTCTAAATTTAAATGAAATGGATACAACTGATCGTCTAATTTGGCCGAAAAAGTTGATGGCAAAAAAAACAACGTCCTACCTCGGAGAACCGGGTCTCTGGACGCAAAACGAAGATTGATTGATTGATCTAGCTGTTGCAACAGAAGTGTAAGGTGCTGCTAATAAAAAACGAACAGTACCAAAGATAATGAATCATTAGGCGACTAAGTAGGGAACCAAATGATTAGACAAAAAATCCAAAAGAGCACGATGGCAAGATTTCTTCAGGACTTGTACAGTAATAATCTACTACAATGTTCACCAGCAGTTCCATCGTTGATACCATCTCTAGAACATCCAGTCAGTAGAATTCAAGTAAGCACTCAGATCTCTTAAAAGCAGGAAGACATTCTTCTGTCTCATATCCACTTTTTGTAAGAAATGTTTGGCAATCTGAATCTACTGCAACAGCATGGGAAAAGGTGATTATAATGCAGATTATGGATAAAGGCAAGGATTATAGAAGAATTAGCTTAATTAACTAAAAAGCTGAGAACAAACCTCTAGAAAAGAAAAGAACAAAAGAGTTTCCGGCCAAACCGTAGATTCATCAGATAATCTTTGTACTTTACATTTGAAGAATTTTATATAAAAAACTGTCACCGCAGGGTTGAGTAAATAAATCTATTGTCATCAAATTGTAGCCATTTTACAAAAACAACCTATTAACCTCAATAAATTTTGAAAAATGACATTGTCAAAACATGAAACATTATTCTCGACATGAACAGAAGACGTAACGTAGAAACTTTCAAAAAAATTCAAGGGAGAGACATGTCGCCGCTGGTCTTTGGCAATATTATAGATGCCAAAGAGCATTCTCTGGTTTAATTGCAGCTCAAGTGGGTGCGAATCACTATTTGATATTAGTCGATGAAAAGTACTAACAAGGTAATAACAATAGATGGATCACCATTAAATGTGCAACTTGACAAAGAACACTGCAACAAGTCCAAGGATTTATATTCAAATATGTATTTAAGTTTGAAACTCCAAGAGAAGAAAATCGCATCATCAGTTGAGATTCATAGAAGAATTGATCATGCCATTGCATCTTTTACTTTACTCAAATGGTGCATCTAAAAGAAACGCAACAAGTTGAAGAATCAACTTTCTGGTATGTTTATTTTATCAATCCTCTTTACGGGTTTAAAACGTGAACATTATTGAAACTGGATCTTAAACAGAAAGAAAATTTTCAAATGTGATGTTTGACAAAAACCAGTGGAATCTTAAGAGAAATAAACTCAGGTGTTTATATAATATATATTTTGGGTTTAGACTATCGTAAATACAATTATTTATAAAGATCACTGCGTTTTCGGCATTATTCAACTTGTTTTTGAGTTTCTCAATTTTTCTAACGAGACTTTTATCATTTTGATGAAGTTTATTAAGGTTAAATAAAAAATTTTTATATTTGACATTTTTGACAAAACATTAATAATAACGTTATTACTACAGAAAAGCTCTTTTCGGCATGCGTTTTCTATAGTAATAACGTTAATAATGTCGAAAACGCAGTGATTTTTATAAATAATTGTATGTATATATATATATATATATATATATATATATATAAATGTTTCTTAATAATATATATATATATATATATATATATATATATATACGTCTATACATATACGTCTGGTAGGTTATTCAACGTAGCTGTTATATTATATGTACACACTTAATATATAAATATATATATATTAATATATTAATGTATAAACAGACATTAAAAGATGTATTAAGAAAACTTACTGGTAGGCCAATGCCGCAATCAGTGGAAAGTAGTTGAGATCCAAATGTATAAGAACCCTGTCCAAATGCAATCATTAGTGGTGTAGCTTGCTGGGTTGGTGGACTAGAATACCCTTGATTTATTGAAGGGGCTGTGATAGACGTTTGCAGCTGAGGTTTGACCTGTTTAATGATCAGCAGTTAAAATGTTTTCCTTGTTGACAACATTATTAATTTTTTTGTATCAATACAGTGGACACCACAACAATCATGAGTTATCACAAATATTGGATACAATTCCTGTTAATTCTATATGATTACATGTTGTTCTATACTTATAATTAAACTTTTGTTACCACAAAGGCTCTAAAATCAGCACCGCATGACGTACAAACACAAAATATATGCACGTGAAAGCACGGCATCATATGTTCATATTCTCTTTCAGTCTTTGTACTACCTGCACCATATGACTTACATACACATTGTGTATGCACGCACAAACAAAACATCATATGCACATGGCAAATGATAAGTTAATGTATGATTTTTGGATGGACAGTATTCGAATCACAGTGTGCGAGAAATAGCACTTTTACTTCCTGAGCTAACTTGCGACTAACCAATGCATTATATAGGTTATATACCAACTTTTTAAATTAATCTAATTGAGAACAAGACTTTTAAACAGCAGACATCAAAAATGTCAAAATAGCTGTAATTAAAAATTTTTTGAGCTGACTATGTAGCAAGACAAATTAAATGAATTTTTTCTATATATATCTTCATTTGTGTTTTTCAATAATTACTTTGCAAACATTCGGCTGATCATTTAAATAGACATTTGTGACATTATTTTTGTAGTTAGATTCAACTGCTTCATTATAATTCATATGCTGTTGTGGTTGTTGATGATGTCTTTGTTGATGTTGTTGCTGCTGCTGAAGCTGACTAGTGTTCACCGACGTCATCACATTTGATGATTGGGTCTCTATTTGGTTTGGAGGTACTGAGGCGATTCTCTCAGCAGTTAGGTAAGAAACTGCAACCTGCTGAAATAAAACATCATTGTAAAATGTAACAATGTTAGAGTAAAATATATTAATTAATTAATTTATTTATTCTATCAATCATTCAATTAAGCACTGCTCACATTAATACAAATTTATATTTATCATGTCAACCAAATTAAACAAAATAACGATACTTGTTTCAACTGTTCATCAATTCCTGATCCTCTTTTTTGACTATTTGGGATCCTAATGGAAAACAATTGAATCGTAATAAATAGTTTCCAAGTTCATATCATCATCCATAATATTATACCATTAACATTAAATTAACATTAACACACATAAAAGGCAACGTTGTCTAACTGATAAAATCATCAAAACTGCATTCCTAGAACCAGATTGCAAGTTCAATGTCAAAAATTAGGCCTACAGATAAAATGACAGTATATCAAGGTATAACTAGATAGAATGTACCTAAAAACAATTTATCATCGGTGACGATCATTTGCATTGTTGATCCACATCCAATGCATCAATAACGATAAATAAAATTTTTATATTTTTCTCAGTTCCAGACCATCAATGATACGCCAAATAATTTAGGTTGGAGTATGGATATTCAAATTTTAAGCAGAATACAGAAAAAATTTGGGCAGCACAATGGTATACTGCTTAAGGTGCCTGACACTGGTACTGCAGTGGCCAGGTTTGAACGCAGATTCCCAACTATAATGCAAGGAATAAATAAATTTGATGTTGTGAATGTTTATAAAAATACTAAATAATAAAATAAATTTGATATTTGATAAAAACAAATTTCAAGTAAATTAATATATACAAAATTTTAAAGATTTTAAACAAAACTTTTCATAATAAATTTCTTTTCAGATAAAAAAAATTGATAGCGTTAATTTCTAAAGCCAAACCCCATAATTTTGCCAAGCCATTTATTTAGTGCATTACCATCAAATTCCACAAATAAACATCATCGCAACCATAATAACAATTAACAATTAACCCCTGATCAAAAGTTTTGTCATTTTCTCTATCCCAAACATCTTTAACTCTTGCTAGTTTATAATTGAGATCTTGGTCCGTTTCAGTCATACAACTGTTATTTGTAACAGTTGGATGATTGCGGTTCCCACTGACAACAGTTGAAGATTGAGAACTGCCAGAGGCATCAAGAAGTTTCTTAGATGTTTCTGACTGGGGAGGTAGCTTAGATGTCAAATTGGCATCAAATGGAAAATCCATTTTCATATTAGTTGTATCTTCTCCAGTCTAAAATAAATATTTTATTATAATCACAAATAGAACTTGAAACATCTTTTCCACAACGGAGGACAAAAAAAGGTATTTTATAAAAATTATAAAATTAAATAAATATATGAATAAATCTAAGAGAGAACGAAAATATTACATGGCCGTAATTAAATAAAGTGGATTGGATATCCATTGTTTCATAACTTCTGTTAGCTGCTTGTGGCTGTTGCTGGCGACTGCACAGTGATGCATCGGGTTTCTTAATTGTTCTGATTTCATCAGACGTCAGAAGATTATTCAGGACCTTTGAAGTTTGTTGTTGTGGCTGTTGTTGTTGCTGCTGTTGTTGTGGTGGTGATGGTGTGAGATGTGCCAGAATCGTGTTGTCAACCTGTGTTATTTTGCCACCATTCAATATCAATAACCATCAATATTTATATATATATATACAGTTTTCAAGAAAATCAACCGCGTTAATACAATTATTATGTTTATACATTAATTTTTCAAGTTTTCTAATTAAAATTTTATTATAATTATTTAATTTATTAAGTTAAAAACTAAAATTATTATTGTTCATGTTTATTAATATAAATAATTGCAAAAAGCTGCTTTTTCGATATAATATATATCATCGTCAGTGCAAAATATTTTTAAATAATAACGACACATTTAGCCTTCTAATATATTTGTTCAAATGTAATATTGGTGAGTGTGGGCACCAAAATTCTTAATATATTGGTATGACGACGACCAAGTTATCAAGAAGACCCATGATGCACGTACAAACTGGCGCTATAAAGAATCACATAAAAGAGAAAGACAAAACTAAAATTACTAGACAAATCTTTAACCAAAATGCTGAAATCTTACATTACAAACAAGCATTATAATTTACAACTAGCCGAATCAATACTCATAGCACAAAGACATCTGATAATAAATATTCAACAACGTGATATTGTAATCCTTCCCACTAACATATTTAAATACAAACAGAGGAATCATCGATAATAATGACAAGTAAAAGTGTCATATTGCACAAAGTTGAAAATTGTAATAACTAATTAAATAAATAATTGTTAAGTATTCACATTTAACAAACAATTAAAGAATTAACAATGTAGAAACAAAATACATGCATATACCTGAGCATTTGGCCACATACATAACGTATCAATTCGAACACTAAAGATGGTATAGGAATACCAAAAAAAGCTTTTCTGTTCTATCATATTTAAAACAAATAAAAATTTTGGTTTTAAACTCAAGAAACTTGACAACGATTTGCAATCTGCCAAAAGAAAAAACGAAAAATTAAACAGGAAGCTAACTACCGCAGAGCATGATGTGATTTTCATCAATAAATTAATTTCTGTCAGTTTTAACGCAATATATATATTGAGTTCAAAACAAAAATTGTTTATTTAATGCATGATAGAACAGAAAAAAAAGCATTATCTCCTAAACATCCATTTATCACTCACATGAATCAATTAAAAATACTAGGCATTACATTCATCTCCACACTCAACATAGCACCTCACATAATTATGTGAATCACCACAAAAGGCATGTCATTATTCAACATCACAGACACAGTCATCTCACACATAAGCTCCTTTCTGGTGTGACTTGGCTATACAACAAACACTTCAACAACTACAATCTCTCATCAAAAAATTAATTCGCCTTTAGTTACTTCATCCTATCCTACCGTCATTTAAATATTCAACACACTTGATCTATATTCTTTGAAAAAATAGAATCTAATACTAACCACGTCATCCACCCTCTACTACAAACAACCAAAATTACAACACACAACCTTTGTCAGCGTAAACATAACTCTCAAGTCACCACTCAATCAGCTCATCAGGATAAAACATTCATCCCAAGACATCTAGCACATATTAACACTCAATAATCATAAATTATTTGTTTAACTTTACATTCATTTTTTCAAATGATCACATTATAATTTACTTATTTAGTCATTTAATTCATAACTTAAAAAATATCTAAGAGAGAATAATATAGTAACAATAAATCAATTCATTTATTTTTTCGTTTTTAAAAACATTATATTATTTTTAATGTTTAATTTTTCTTACTCCATTATTTATTTATCTCATTTTACAATATTATCTTGCAAGTTGTAACAAATTCTGATCTTTTTAAAGAATAAAAAAAATAATCAAGCTCAATAAATTTATTAAATAAACAAATAAATAACAGTCTCACGTTAATTTGGATCTCTCTACCAGGTCGAACTCCTGGCTGTTTGGGAGACATTGAGACCGAGGAGGGCACTAATTGCATGTTTTCTCCATTATTATTATTTCCAGCCATTCCTTCACTGCTATTTCCTTTAGTACCTACACCCAAAGTTGACATGAGATTTTGCTGTTGTTGTTGAAGATGGTGTTGACTTTGTTGCTGTTGCATTTGTTGACGATAATGTTGTTGCTGTTGTTGCAGCTGTTGCTGTTGTTGTAGCTGTTGTTGCTGATCTGGCCAAACTGGTAAGCTGATTGATGAAAAAATATTGGTCGATGGTGATGCACCTGCAAGTTAGAGATTAAAATGTTACAAATTTTCATCTACAAATGACTAATTAATTTTCTAATTTCAAACGAAAAAAAATAAAAAGAACCGGCAGATGTGGTCATGATTGAATTTGATCCTATTTGTTGTTGATCCCAATCCCTGTCCATCTGGAACTTGAAGGCATTTATTGAAGAATATAACTTGTTTCCGTCATCTGCAAGAAATGTGGCAAATATAAAGAACATGACAATAAAAATGATGATGATGAAAAAAACAAACCAGTATGTTGAGTTTCATTGTTAAGATGACGAGGATGGTGAATTTGGTGGTGAAGTTGTTGATTGAGATGATGTGATTCCATAGATGGAATTCCATAAGTAGTTGCAGAATTGTTGTTGCTATGTGGCACAAATACATTTCCTAACTGCTGCTGTTGTTGTTGTTGATTTTGTTGCTGTTGCTGCTGTTGTTGATAATGTTCTTGTGAATCTATTACAGAGATACCAGCAGCTATGTTATTAACGGAAGCAACTGAAGAAACTGTGACAGATGTAACTGAACTTGTCTGAGCAGGCGTCGATATAGGTATGCTCTTTGCCATATCATTTGTCCAATTTTCAATCTTAGGTAAAACCGCAATAGGTTCATCATTATCTGCACTGCCTAGGCCCATTGATCTAGAAGTATTTATAGATGTTATGGCACCAGATGTAGTACTCCTTTTAGTCGAATCTTTAGGTCGACCAGTCTTATTGACAATCAATTTGTCAGATGATCTTTGCTGGCGGTCTATTGAAGTTACAGCCACTGATGATGAAATTATGGACGATGGTAAAGTGCTAACAACAGATGCTTTGTTCTATTGAAAAAACAATTGAATGTATCATGAAAATTAACAACCACCATTACATAAAAAAAAACTGGAAACCACACATACCTTATCTGCTACCCCTTTCTTTGAAGTAGCAGCTGCTGCAACAGCTGCTGCAGCTTGTGCTTTCAATTGTTGCTGCTGTAACTGTTGTTGCTTTAAAGCTTCCTCCTGCTGAGCAGCTTTGATTTTACTTTTGAGAGCTTTTCTTGAGGTGACCTCTTGAAAGCCTTCATTTTTTTCAAACAAGAATGATGGGTCATCTATGGATACTTCCGGATGGTTGTCAATGATAACAACACCTTTTCAAAATTTACAACATTTTGCGTTGAGTAATGATAAATTTAAGTTTCAAAATGTCACAAAATTTAAAAAAAAAAAACAAAATAAAATTGAAAATTAAACATTTTTACTAGGTTTTGAGTATGATACACATTAATTAGAGCATCCAATATTTGAATGAATTTAATATGTATTATAATTCTAAACATGTGCAAACATCATCAAAAAAGCATTTATCAAATATTTAAGAATTTTCATTTTTCTATCACTGAGAGAGTTCTCGCTTTGTTATTTTATTTCATGAAATATTGATGCTTATATATTTTTAATATTCAGGATTAAATTAAATTTTAATTATATATTACATCGACTTTAAACATTCTTAAATGATGTATAAAATGCCACGACACAAAAAATCGCATCTCTTAATAGAGTATTGACATCTTGACAGAAAAAATAGAACTTAAAAATTTTGTAATAAAAAGTTGATGTGTTACAGATTGGTTATAGTAAACAATACACGACAGACTACACAGCAAATGATTGTTCAATCAAATAAACAATCGCCTACAAAATTTGGCTAATTATTCTAGCATTTAAAACATTACAGACTTTCATAATTGTCCTAACATACAACACATTACAGACTTGCATAATTGTTAACATCTATCCCAGCCATAGGATCCTTCTTTTCTTTCTCATGTTTGTTAGCTTGTTTGTTTGTAGCATCATTAGAAGACATCAAACTATTAATGCCACTACTTGTAATTGTTGTTGTCAATGTTGCAGTGATTGTTGGAGACGTCATCAAAGTTGATGAGAAAGTTGGATTAGAACATGCATTATTGTTGGTCGATGTGGCATGCTTATTATTCCTGTCATTAACGTTGTTTATCATATATATTTCACATCATAAATATTTTTAATAAAAAAAATGCAGCTTCACAAATATGAAATGGTAAAAAATTATCTCCATGACAAATACCTGATATCTGGTTTTAAAAATTTGTCTTCATTGTTATCATCAACTGAATGTCTCCTGTATTTTTCGGAATTATTCAATAAATGCTGCTGAGTCTTTATTTTGTGATTTTTATTTACAGTTGCTTGTGATTGCTGTGGATATCGAGATTTAATGAAGCCGTTATTGGAAGAGTTTTGCTCCGGATATCTTTTCTGGCGGATGTCAAAACTTTTTTCATCATATTTTTTATAGCTGTCAAATTTATCATCTTTACTTCGTTTAACGCTAGATTGGTTGTCTTTTTTTTTGATGTTAGTGTTAGTTGATGTTTTCAATAAAGACGGTTCTACTATCTGTGGAAAAAAGTTTTTAAAACGAATGAATAAATAAATGTCAAATAGAAGTAATTTTAAAAATCGGAAAAAACAGAAACAAACTGAGTTTTTTCCTCCCTCATCATCTTGGTTATTTAACACGTCACTACTTTCTGAAGCAGTTTCCCATTCTTCATTTCCTATGTCTGATTCAATTGCACCTAAATTAGGCGGACCACCACCACTCGAGATGGACAATTCATTACGTCGGTGGTGCCTGGATGAAGGATGCCTGCGGTCTGAATTGTTCTGCTTTGATTCTCCTCTGCCCAAACTTTAAAAAATAAATTTTAATAACTTAATTGTCGTTATTCCCACTAGCAGCAAAATATATATGACACATCCAATTTGTAGTTAAGAGAATGTTGAAAACCATAATGACTAAAATTTTTCTGTTTTCATTATATGCTAATACCTCTGAATCAAATCATACCCAAAAAACCTATGCCGATGTGATTTGATCATCTAATACTAATCAATCTAAGTCATTGCTGACGTTAACAAAAATTACTAAAAAACAAAAAACAGAGGATCTCTGGAGCAACTCGCGGTGGAGCCGACTGGACCGTCAAATCAGTCGATCCAACAAACAGTTGCAACAAACCCTCCACACCTGGATGTCCACAGGGTTTTTGTCGACGGAGCGGGCCATTCCGGCCATCCTGCTTCGTTGCCTTCGCCGGAATTGAACCAAATCCAGGTCCCCCAAAGATCTGGATTTGCCCAATATTCAGGCCGTTGCAGAACATGCTACAACTGGCATCACCTCAACAACTACACAACCAACATCAACGGTTATTACTATTGTAACAACTGTCCTCCCCCGTCTACAAAATCGGACAAATCGACGGCGCCGATTGATGCCACACGACGGCCAACACCAACATCAACATCATCAAACAACAACTATCCCCGTGACAAACCATCCACAACTCAACCAACAAATGCTGGACGATTAAATTTTCTCCAACTTAACCATAACGGCAGCAAAAACAAACATGACAAAATTCAACAATATTTAATAGACCACAACATTCACATCGCAACCCTCCAAGAATCTAAGCTGTCAAAAGTTTCCAAAATGCCAGTCTTAATAGATTACGCGATTTACCGCAAGGACCGAGGAAATGGTCGAAGGGGTGGTCTTACTACACTCATCCACAACAGCATTCCCTTCAGCATAATGTCACTACCTGATACTCCCGCAATTGAGAGTTAGGCCATCACAATAAACGCGGGCGGCACAGATATCAACATTGTCAACATCTAAATTCTCCATTAACCGGTTTGCCCAACTGACTTCTCAGCTTCAATTTGTACTAGCACATGATCCCCAGTCACAATAAACGCGGGCGGCACAGATATCAACATTGTCAACATCTAAATTCTCCATTAACCGGTTTGCCCAACTGACTTCTCAGCTTCAATTTGTACTGGCACATGACCCCCAGTGGTACTGGGGATCATGAGCCACCTCCTACTGTCACCGCTTTCACGGTCAATTGTCCGCTGGCTTTAAAACTACCTGCACGGATGATCCACCTCGACAGAGTTCCGTCGACAATCCTCAAAACAACGTACCATCCGTTAAACAACGTACCATCCGTTCAGGAGTACCTCAAAGATCTGTATTGTCACCAACTCTGTTTAACTTCTACATCTCAAAGATTCCAACCCCGCCTCAAAACAACAAAGTTATTTTCTATGCAAACGACTTCACAGTCTACAACACTGGTCCGGATGCAGATAGTCTGACCCTCCGTCTCAATTGTTACCTGCCGAAGCTCTATGACTTCTTCAACAACAGAAACTTGGAGATTTCCACCTCCAAGTCCACAGTCACTCTTTTCGCATCCCGCATATCACAATATCATCACCATCCTTCAACTTTATTGAAGTGCCGTGTCTCGCGCTGCTATTACGCGATGGCATGTTTCAAACACTGCTTGTCTAAAACTCAAAGACTATCATACCCTTATTATGCGGTGCTTGTTCATTTATACAAAATGTCTATGAGCATTTTGAACAGACTTAGTTTTGTTGATAAAAATTTACTAAGACAAATTGATAAATTCGAATATAAGTTGATAAACACTAATAAATCGGTAGAATTTATTATGTATATATCAGTAAAACTCAATTAATCATACTGAACAATTAAATTTTATTTAAGATCAAACTTTTTTGAGAGAGACTTTCTTTCAGCCCCTTCTCCATCATTTGAACTGATCAGTTTTACCAAATCATCATAACTACGACCCTTGGATCCCCTTGCAATTCCTCTGCCTCTCTTTCCCGGAATGCTATCATTCCATCCACTTCTTGTTGAGTCGCCAAAACGACCACTCCCTCCATGGTTTCCTCCTTTGCTTTTCCTAGCTCCATAATCATTCTCATCATAATCATAACATGATCTTTTAAAGTTTTCGATAGAATTTGGCCTCTGGTTTGATTTTTGGCCTAACAGAAAAAGTTTTGTTGCCATTCTAAAGCTTTCACCTCCATCCTTCCACACACCATTTACTTCATTGCTGTCCTCATCATCATCATTAATAAAATCTTCAGGAGAAAGTAGGAGGCTTTCTTTCAAGAGTGATGTGGGAGGCCTTGCAATGTGGAGATCCATGAGAGCAGGAGGTTTGCTTGTTGTTGCTATATTGTTTGTTGTTAATCCTACTGATGTAGTTGTTGACAGGTGCTTCTCATGAGATGATCTGGTTGATTTGAATTTGTCTGACGACTGGCTATAAAGATTTGAATTTGTAATGACTGCCCCCTCGAACAAAAAATCAACTGAATCTTCATCTTTCCATTTGTTTAGCAAGGGTTGCTGATTTTGTTGATGTTTCAATGCAGCCGTTTGGTCATTTGAGGCAAGCTTCATTTCTTTTTGTCTGTTATGCCAAGCATTAGCAACTGGAGGTTGTTTTAGTTTAGAAACATTTTGATGGTCTTTCAAATTTTTGTCACTGTCAGCAGTTTCAGCTAATTTAATTTCTATTTTTTTACTATTTTTAGGATTCGCTAATTGGGAGTTTACAAAATTAACAGCAGTATTTCTAATATCAATATCGTTATCGCTAGTTTTTTTTTCAGCACTACATTTCACTGTATAGTCCTTTTCAGTGTTCATGTCAACTCCCCATGCTTTTTTAGAATGGTTCACTGAAGCCATATTTTTACCTCCATTGTTAGAGGCATCATTAATTAGTTTGATGGAGCTACTGTTAACATTTCCACTGCTACAAGAGCTTGATTTATTGAACACCTTTGTGTTGGCAGCTGTTGAAGTAGTGGTATTTGTCTGATAACCAACATTACCACTATTATTCTGACTATTTTGACTGCTGGAAATGACTGACTCGTGTTGAAAACTTTCTCTATCATTTTTCTTCATAGATTTGGTTGACGCTGACAATGTTGCACTTTTAATTTGTTCTAACTTTTTACCATTATCAAATGATGATTGGAGTGATGATGATCTGAACTGGTCATTTGAGTTTTTATTTTCAATTTTATGATCTGCATAATCTTCACACTTGCTGCCACGATTGTTAACAGCAGTAAGCACCTGAAAATTACTTTGTCTTGCATGATCTGAACCAATTTCCAAAAAATAGTTCTTTTCAGAGGATGACAATTTGTTAGTTGCAACTTTTCCATCATCTGTTGCTTGATTTGAAGAAATTTGTTTGTATTTATCAGCATGACGACTGTTGTTTACATTACTGGCATGATCATTTCTCAAAGGTTGAATTAGTGAAGATGATGAACAACGATTAGAATCATGTAGCAAAGCTGGTTTTTTGTAATCATTACTATCTGTTTTATTGACAACTTTATTATCATTGTTGTTTTCACTGTGCTGTTTAAAATTGTTACTGACAGTCAAATTCAATATATTTATTTTATTATCATTGTTATTCAAATATCTGTTATTGTAATTGGCATAATTTAAGTTGTAATCATCTTCATATTCGTCATCAACAACATCATTAACATTTTCAAAATTAATAAATTCATCCTTGCTACCATCAGTCTTGTTAGACCAGAAGTCTTTTGTATCAGAATCTCTAGTGTGGTGTAATGAATAATGATGCTGACTTTGTTTTAGCTGTTTATTTTCTTCCTCATCAATAGTGTCTGCCCAATTAATCTTGTTTCCATCTGTTTTTGTTGTATAAAAACCAGACGACTGTAGAGGTAACAAATAACGATCATTAGGATCAATTCCAGCTTCAGCAGATGAAGAAATAGAAGTCGCGTTGCTGGTAGTACTCATTGTATTGGTGGTTGTAGTATTTGAAAATGATGGGATGTTGTTGCTACACGATTTGGTCATCTTTTTAAGAGGTGTGTAATTACTTTGAGTTGGTGCATCTTGTTTTGACTGCTTCAAGGTAATAGGTGGGGGACACGCATGTCTTGAATCTAATTAATTTGAATAAAAGCTAATTAGTTGGATAAAAAAGAAATCTCGAAAAAAAAAATAGGAACATGATACAAAACCATAAATAACCAAAAACATATTACAATGAAAAAATAGTAATAGCATTCAAAAAATCTAAACTAACATAATGATGATGAAGTTGTAGTACTGTTAATGCTAGCAGTAATAGAATAATTACTGGATGATACTTTATCTCTTGTAATAGTATTATAAGTACTTGTTTTCGCAATCAACGATACAGCTGTTGTAGATGAAAGCTGATAATGGGATGAAGAGCTTTTTGCATATGAGGTGGTTGAAGTTGTTGTAAGTGGTGTAGACGTAGTTGCTGTTAGTTTTTTGTTTAAAACCACTTTATGTGAGTCATCAGAACCATGGGATCTTTAAAAATTAATTTGATAAAATAATATATTCATAAAAATAATAAATGATTAATTACTAAGTCAAAAATTATATATATATATATATATATATAATTGATGAAAATCACAGCATGTTCGGCATAAGTTAACTTTCAATTTAACAATTCGATATTTTTAATGGTTGATCGTAAATCATTTTCAAGTTTCTTTAGTTCAAAACCAAAACGAAGAATCATAAAAAATGACGTAACGAAAACGATAGTATTAAACTACGAATATACTACTTCAACCAAAAAACGTCATCTATTGTGATGAAAAACAACTGCACTGGTAAACCATAATCGACAAGGCAGAGGAGAGTTTACCCAGAGCGTTGAGAAGAAAACTGGCCCAGCTCCGCTCTGGTCACTGCATCTCCCTCAACAGCTACAGATCGAAAATAGACAGTGGGGTCAGCAACATCTGTCCAATATGCCAGTTACTTCCTGATGATGTTCTCCATCTGTTCAGCTGCCCAAAGAACCCAACTCATTTCACGATAATAGATCTCTGGCGTAACCCGGTGGTCGTGGCTAACTGGCTACGGCCTCGTCTGGATCCCTCCAATGATGTCTGATGCAGGGCAATAACAACAACAACGATAATCGATAATGGATCAACACACTCAATCACAATTAGCCGTTAAATCCTCGACAGCAACACCAAAGTAATATACCAGAACAGCAACTACACGCATCTTAAAATTGCAGAAGCAGTCCTAATTGACATCAATAAACCAAAAATAAATATACAACAAAAAATGACAACCTCACTTCCAACCCGGCGCTTAACCAACAACGAAAACAAAGAAGTAATAAAAACTAGCATCATAAATAGTGACAAAGAAGAATATGATGCTATCGATGCCAACACTGTAGATACCAATGCTACAACCCACAGCGCAAATATCAGTTGCAATTGGAACATCATCAATAGTGACAACCCTAACAACAACATCAACAACACCAACAACAACATCAACAACAACAGCATGAACAATAACAACAACAACGGTGCCAACAATGTAGATACCAACGCCACAACCCACAGCGCAAATATCACTTGCAAATGGAACATCATCACAAGAAGCAAGAAGAACCACAGCGATGATAATAATAATAATAACGTTAACAATAATAATAATAATAATGTTTTTAAATATTGTCAAAATAATATTAATAATATGTAGTTAATTAAATAAATTAATTCGCGCTTCTCGGCTGAGCGTTGACATTTACCTTAACAACCATAATATAAACAATCTTGCCGTTAAAAATTTTAAAAAATTTTAAAAATCGCGTTTTATATTGTTTATAGTTATTAAATTTACTTTATTGGTTTTCTGTTTTAATTAAATAATTTATATAAATTAATAATTACTTGTTCCTTTATATCAAATATCTTACATACCTTATATATAATGCACTGAAGATGAGTTTTTTATAACTATAGCTATTTGCAAATTTATTTAATACAAATTTTTTAAAAAACAATAAAATGTCTAATTTCTCGGAAATTAATAAATTAAAAAGAAATATGAAAAAGTTGAACAATGTTGAAAGTAGTGTTGAATTTTTGAAATGTTGCGTTAACAATAGTCTGTTACCAAAAATATATATATATATATATATAATATATATAAAATTATGCTGAAGATAACATTTTGAGTACTTTTGGCAGGACTACAAGAGAAGTGAAAAAACTGAGGTTACGTGGGCACAAGACATTATAGGATGGTAGAAACAAGCATTAAGTTGTACTTCAATTTCGTTTCAGGCCTTTCAGATCCTGGCCTAGGTTTAATCTAGTTTAAGAGCCAACGCGCCCACGTGGTGGTAGATGAGCCACAGCACTAAAGTAGTTGTGGACAAAGAATATGCCGGCCGGCCAAACGAAAAGCCAAGACTGTGTTGAATTACAGATCCAGATCATTTTATTAAGTCATTGTGGCCAGAGGAAACTCCTGTAGTTATTAGAGGCAACATTAAGGGCTTGTTTACTTTACGTACAAAAGCCTGGATCCGGCTACGCTTTGTGGGAAAGACTTAATGATAACAGCTAGGCGGCCCAGCAAAGTGCCGTAAAACGTAAATAGGGCAGTGAGACAGTGAACACTGTTGGCCATTTATTATATTTCGATCATGGCCAGCTTTCTCTACATCATCTTGCTACTGGATTTAGATAAGCTGGAACGAGAGAATGAGGCTGATGATATGCGCAGTTCTCTATCACTAGGATCTAAGTCAAATCTGCACATTGGTGACCTAGGACATAGGGTCACTTTTTGCTGGGATTGAAGTAACAGCTGAGTTTGACTGAGCAGTTCTTTATAGGATCGCTCTGCTCACCTCCATGGGGAAAGGGGCCAGTAAAAGAGTCTCAAACATAGTCTGCTTCACCCTCACCCTTGCTAGTTCACCGTGGACGACGGGGATCCCACTTAGAGGTCAAAATGTAAAGCAGAAAAAACTGAACTCAACCTAGGTACTTGGAACATGAAAAACCAGTTAGACAATGTCAAGTTAGATCGAACTGAGAGAACTGCAGTAGTTTTAAGAGGGCTTGTGTGCCACAATGTAAATATAACATTTAGTGAAACGAGGTTAGCAGACAAGGACCAGATCACAGAACACGGCTGAGGCTACACAATCTTCTGGAGTGGTTGCAGCAGTGATTGGATGGCAAAGCTGTCAGACAAATTCATAGACAACCATACAGACAATAGCAAAAAGCAATAGATGCATTTTCCTAAAAGTTTACCGTTTTCAAACATCTAGAAGTCTCATCCTGCAGAAATCAAGATTGGTTTGAAAAAAAACAATGATCCATTCAAATATTGCTCAACGAAAAGCACCTGCTGCTCAGAGCCAAAAAAGCCTACTTTTGCTAGAGAAAGGCTAGAGATGTGTCAAAATACTACGGGATACATAGTTCCACAAAAAACTGATTAGATTCAGCAATACGCAAACAGCAACGATGCAAGGCTATTTTATGATGCGTTAAAAGCTGTATAAGGAAGGACCCAAGACACCAAGCTCCTCCCTTTTCTTCTCTGCCATGTTAAATGATGTCTTTCATGACTAAAGTATGGTATTCAGATCATATACAAAACCAATGGCGAACTTTTCAATCTCAGACATTTAATAGGCAATCATAAAAGTTAAAATCCTTATAATCAAAGATTTCATGTTTGCAGATAATTGAACGCAATGAACAACATATAAAAAACAACATAATAAATTGCATAACACAGCTTTGCATTAGCATAGCATTGTTTAACATAACTTCAGTCCAGCTATCAACATCAGCAAGACTGAAGTCATATACCAGCTCACATCTGCAAAACCATACTAACAGTCATTACCATAAAGACTAAACCAATGATGATTGTTTAACAAAGGAGGAAAAAAAAACCAACCCATCTGCAAAGCTTTTAATGACATCGTCACTATCATCACAGAGATCTTCATCAATAAACTCTTGCTTATTTCCAGCATTTTTGCTAGAGTTGTATGTTCCTCCATATATATCATTATCCTCCCTAAAATATGCCTTGCTCCTGTTATAATCACATTCTTTATAATTAATATAATCATCTTTTTTATTATTGTATGAATGAGGCTGCTTTCCTTGTAGGTAACTGACGTCACAATTATCATCTCTACCGTTATTGTCATCATTACAGCATTGATCATTCAACTTATATTTTACTACGTGTTCACTTGCTTTGTCACTATTATTTTTGGATTGACTTTCATCTAAATCATTACTATCATTGTCATCATTGCTATTTTCATAATTATAAGAGTGTTGATTTCTTTGTTTAGGATGTTCACAGTTCTTTTTATTATAGGGGACCGTTTTATAATCCACATGCTTCACTCGAAAACTTTCATCATCATAATTAAATTTTCCATTAGAACTATCTCCACAAACATCATTAGCATACTCATCATAAACAACTTGATCATCATTATGGGTCTCTCCACTATGATCTTTATTCGGAGGTTGAAATTGATCATGACAATTCTGCTGATGATGCGACTTGTCATAATGAACTGCATCAAAATCTGATTGTTGCTTTGATTTCCTAGAGCCATTGTTTTGCTTTTCTGATTTACTCCATGATGACATGGAATATGATGTTGTCGTAGTTGAAGGTGTTAAATTATTTGCAACTGCATTACTGTCAATTTGAGGATGAGGATGATAATGATGATTGTAATGTTGATGATGTGCAAGCGAGTGCTGGTAATGGCTGCTGTCCTTATCCATAGAATTTTGTCGTTTGTAATCCTATATAACATTTAATAAAGCTATAATAAAATTTAATTAAAACTAAAATAAAAAAAATTAGAAAGCTGCTCAAATTATTTGAAAAATCAAATAATTAAATAAATTGACCTGATTAGAAGAAGTTACACTTTCATGTCTGCCAATACTTAACCTTGAACTGTTATCATACATGCTGCATTCATCTTTAAACTTTCTATTGTTGTAGCTAGTTTGTTGTGGATGCTGCTGCTTTGATTTGTTGGATTTCTGATAAGTATAGTTAGTTAATGCTAACTACAAATCAATAGCAACACTTATTTACATGCTACATACATTAGGATGATGGTGGTAATGATTAATATAGTTAAGTAACAACAAAGACTTACATCAAAATAATGGCCATCTTTAATCTCCTTACAGTCATCTAGGTAATCTTTCTGCTTTAAAAATTGTTTAAAATAATAAATGTATCAACTTCATATCATCGATACACAATCATATTTCTCTCTCTCTCTCTATATATATATATATATAATATATATATAGAGAGAGAGAGTCTAAACCCAATGATAGTCTAAACCCAATATATATATATATATATATATATATATATATATATATATATATATATATATCTTTCTGGTTTAAAAATGGTTCAAAATAAAAAACCTTATAAACTACAGTTCATCTATCATTCCTCAATTTAGTCACCAGTTCATTGATTAAAAAAATTAAATTCAAATATATTTGTATTAACATAAATCGGCAGCACTAACTTGGTAAACCTTATTGTAGCAGTTTAACTTGCTCTGATTACTGTCTTCATAACTCTTTGTAAAAGTGTTTGTATGCTTGCTAAGAGGTGTAGACAATAACGGAGCCCTGAATGACGGTTCCAATAATAGTGGTGCCTTTTTAACATCTTTGCCACTAAGTAATCTATCGTCACTGGTGATTTATGTATGTTGGCTTGCTTTACATAATTTATTCCATTAAAAAAATAATAAACAGTACAATCAAATTTCTCATTTGAATGCAATTAAAAGAATAAAAATAAACCTCTTTTCAATTTTGCTAGTTTCTTTGATTTTTTCAAAAGAATTCCAGTCACCATTTCTTTTTCTGCATTCATTATTCCATTCATCATTATCATCACTATTCTTCCTTGTAATGCAAATTATACTTGTCCTCTTATTTGCAGCAGTAGCATTATCACAATCTTCATTGTTATTATCATTGATACCAGCATTTGATAGTGTTTTATTATCACCAGTTTCATTCTCATCATCACCTAAAGCCAACTTTTTGCTGTAGTCAATCTCTGACAGTGTCTTACTTCCCCATCCATATTCCCTGGTACTAATCTTGTCAAATTCTCTCAGAGAGTCATCCTTGATTATGGCATCTCTTTGATGCTGCTGCTTTTCTATGTCACATGTCACAGTTGCTGAAGATGATGAGTGATGATGCTGTACAGATGGTGGAACCGGTGGATACATTCTCATATGTGATGGAGGAATCATATGAGGAGGCATACCATGGTATCTGGAGAATTCAATTTAAAATATAATATTGGTAATGATCACGTTGGCTTGTTCAAATGAAACTCACCCATGTTCTGGCTTAGGATAGTGTGCCATTGCATGAGGTGGCCTGTTGTGAGGCATATAGTTTGATGGGTATGGTGGTGGAGGGCCATATCCTGGTCTAGGTGAGCAACCCTGTATAATAATAAAGAAAACATAAAATAAAACAAATAATCTTAATTAGAATTTAAAAGTCTAACATATTGAGGAGGCATTATATGAGGAGGCCCAAACATAACAGGTCCACCAGAGGGCATTCTTGGTGGAATAGGACCTCTCATCATCATTCGTGGAGGTTGGCCATAAGGTCCTGAAAAACTAGGACCTGCAATGTAATCAGGCAGTGGCATTCCTCTCTTACGCTGATCTACACCTCTGCTCACTGGTTCATTGTAAATGATTTACAATTTAATTGAGAAAAATTAAATGCAAATATATTGATACAAAATTAAAAACTTATAACAATTTGATTTATAATTACCTTCCTCATTATCTTGATTGCTAAGATTAGATGTTTGCCTTTGTAAGGAATCCTTGTCAGTGTTTTCTAACTCCTCAGTGTTCATGTTGTCTGACGATGATTGCTTTCGACCTCCTCCTTCTCTCCAGCTCATCATATCTACAGGGGTGGTCAAATCAACAAAATTTTTATGAAAAATTCTCAAGCTAAAATTTACAAAATTTTATTCATACTTTGTGGCCTGAGGCTCAAATCAGAAGCTGCTGATACAAATGAAGTTGCAGCAGTAGTAGCAACTGCAACAGAAACTGGAGCAGTAGAAGGTAAAACTGATAATGAGACAACAAAATATTTCAGACTATCCTCAATTTTTTTCTGAGGTGACTGTTGTACTTTGCTGTCCTCTAGAGTGACAGCTGCTAGTTCTGGAAAATCTTCTTGAAGTAGTTTTCTGTTCAGCGGTTGAAAATCACCTAACAAAAAAATTTATTATAAAAATATAATACTACTATTTTTTTTTTGTAGAATCATGGCCATTAATAAAACGTTTAGTATCATTAACCCTGATGACCAGATGTAACACTACTCCACAATTGATTATTTAATGATCTATCTGTACTTCTTTGTTGTGTTGAAATTGTTGATATATATTGATGCTGAGATCCAACAGCTAACGATGATGCAGGTACCAACGATCCACTTATTGATTTTTCATCATCTTTCCCACCTTTCCAGCCTTTAAAGTGAATAAATAAGTTTTTCCCAAATTTCTATTGAAATAAACCATCTAAATTTACCTCCAGATCCAGAAATAAAAGCTGCAGAAGATTCAGAAAACCCATGTTCACTTTTTAAACTAGGTAAATTAACTGGTGGAGGCATACGTCGAGTTGAATTAATTTTACCCAAAACTTGCAAGCCATGATTGCGATTCGACCCTGGTTAATGATCAATGATTTAAACCAAAAAATAGACATAAAAAAACTTAATAATTACCAGCGGTCCTCTGAGCTTCAACACTTGCTCCTTTGTACACTTTATTGATTTCAATTGTTTTAAACTTTGTCTTATTCTTATCCAATTTACTGTTTAACCCAGAAAGTGACATTTTTTTATTACGCTCATTGACTTTAGTTTTGGCCAACAAGCTGTCAAGTAATCTGTTAGTGAGTAAATTAGCATGACTTTGTAGCATTGTAATGGCAGTTTGATCTTTCTTACAAAAGCAAAGAGCAACATAACATTTAAATAAAAGGCTATATAATGGTGAGAGTGAGTAAAGTGTGTAAGCGAATATTACTTTTGGGTTGTACTCTCATACAAAAATATAATTAGCTGACTTTAAAAATGTTCAGTTGCATCAAAAAATTATTTGAGAAAAGGAATTCAAACCACTAATTTACATTGTGCTATGTGAAAACAATGCACACTGTATGTATATTACATTGTACAGATATGAAATAATAGTGTAAATTAATAAAAATTAATAATAAGATAGTGCAATTCAATTGTGATAGTGCAAGGTTAAAATTAATTTCCAACAGTTTTTCAATCTTAATTTGATATGTTCATGCATGCATGAACATGTCAAATAAAGATGAAACGCATGGATGTCTGTTTCATTGGACCCAAGCGGTTTTCAGAAAAACAAAAGTGATTTTTAAAAATCAAATTTAACATTGTTATTATGTCACATGCTGCAATGTCAATATTAAATTATTTTCTTGGATGTGGATAATTTTTATTATTTACAACTTTTCCTAATTTGATTGTCGCTTAGTATCAGCCATCCTGTAAGTTCCATTAATCACTTGAATTAAAATTATAATTTGTGAAGAGTATATATTTTATTATTATCAAAAACGGGAAATGGGTGTGTAAAAAATTTATAATGATAGAAATCTACAAAAAGTGTAAACTTTTATTGACAATATCAATTTTGCGAAAAGAATGGATTTTCAGACTCTATAGGTAGCTTTCAAGTCCTGAAAAAAAAACTTATGGACCAATTTTACAGTTATATTAAAACATAATTGATAGATAATCCTCTGTTTACACCAAAATCATGGTCTGTATTCAGGAGGAAATACAGGACAAATAACAATGTGGAGGACTGGCAAAATCAAATTAACAAAAATGCAAATAAACTTTGAAAATGACATGCTTCAAAATGATATTGTATTACAACAAAATTAACTTGGGACCAATCGTTGACATAAATTTAGGAACCGTCTTTGGATCAATCATCCAATTTAAATATAAAACAGCTTTGAAAGACCAATCATCCAAATAAATTTAGGGCCAATTATCTTTAGAGCCAATCAAATCATCCAAATAACTGTCTAAAAAATCTAGGAATCCAAAAATCTAGAGACCGAATGTCTTAGGGACCATAAACATCTGTAAGCCTCTAGTAATAAATGTAACATAATGAAATGGAAATTTCTTTAGGTTAGTAGGTCGCACAACGTTAAAAAATCGAAAGTGTGCGTGCTTAACTTTAACGCATTTTACGCGTTTTCGTCGTCGTTATTGTTTATTTTTCGAAAAAGCGGGCATCTATATAATTTTTGGTTGTTATGAGTGATAAAAGAAATGTCTATTATTATAAAAATAATTTTTCTTTGTTGTTGTGAGTCACATTTATTAGTACTATTTGCCACGACGTTGGTGTATTTTAAAAAGTTTTAAAAACTTAGTAATACATGAGCAATAAAAAACGCTGCAACTACAGTTTGTGGGAAAACTGGTACAAAACGTCAGCATGAACGTGACACTTGGTGGTGGAATGACAGTGTACAAAATGCAATAGCTGAAAAGAAAGTTGCATACAAGCAATGGCAAAAATCAAAGTCTGTTGATGACAATAAAATTTTCCGTGAGAAGAACAACTATGCAAGACGTCAAGTTGCACTGGCTCGGACAGATCAGTGCAGAGAGTGGCTCACTAAAAGCAAAGATGAACAAATGAAATCTCTGTATCGTATAACAAAACAAGCAAAGTGTACAAAAAAAGATATTGTTGGTGCCTCATGTATTAAAAATGACAAAAACGAGATGGTTCTTGAACAAGATGAGATCAAGCTACAGTGGAGAGAATACTTCAATCGTCTGTTAAACGAAACAAATCCCATCAATGTTAACTTAGACGCTCCACCCATCGAAGGTACGATTGCAGACATCACTGTAGAGGAGCTTACAGAAGCTCTGAAAGCTATGAAGGATGGAAAGGCAGCGGGGCCCTCTGGACTCACAAATGACATTATCAAAGCATCTGGTACTGCAGGTATCCAAACGTTACTACAACTTTGCCGTGAAATCTGGAGAAATTGCTCAATGCCGACTGAATAAAACTATAGCATGACAGTCCCGCTATACAAAGGCAAAGGTGATCCATTGAACTGTTTATCATATCGGGGTATACGTCTGTTAGAACACTAACTGAAAATTGTTGAGAAAATCATTGAGAGAAGATTAACGTCGTGCATCACAATCGGAAATTATCAATTTGGTTTTCCAGCGGGGAAATCAACAATTGATGCAATTCACATTCTTCGGCAACTGCAAGAGAAGTACCTCGCAAAGCATCAACAACTATCACACATTTTTGTAGACCTTGAAAAAGCATTTGATCGAGTTCCCCGTGAAGCAATCAGGTGGAGTCTACGTCGACAACTTATTCCAGAATATCTTGTTTGACATGTGATGGAAATGTATACGAATACTAAGACTCTTGTCAACACAACGGTTGGAAACACAGATGCATTTGACATCGGCGTTGGAGTTCAACAAGGCTCGATTCTCAGTCCACTGTTATTTATAACTGTGATGGAAGAAATCACAAAACCGATACGCACTGGTGACATTTGGAATCTAGTATATGCTGATTATATCGTTTTAACAGCCACATCTGAGCAGAATGCAGCACAGATATTTGAAGATTGGAACACCAGACTCACTGATCATGGATTCAAAGTACACATCAGCAAAACCAAAGCAATGAACACTGGTGAACCCATCCAATCCACAGCTACTGAACGATGGCCCTTTTCAGTTTGTAAAGCTGGTGTAGGTAACAATTCAATCAAGTGTCAGCAGTGTAACCAGTGGTGTCACAAACGTTGTTCAAAAATAATTGGTACTTTATCTAAAGTGTCCAATTTTGTTTGTCCTGCTCGCATCAATCCACAACAACAAATTTGAAAAAGCACTGTTTTTGAAGCCTATTAAGGTAGAGAAAGTCACATTGTTTCAATATCTAAAAGGATGTTCTGGATTGTACTGGAACAGCTGAAGCTGCCAAAAAGTTGATGGCAAAGAAAACAACGTCCTACCTCGGGAAACCGGGTCTCTGGACGCAAAACGAAGATTGATTGACATGAGCAATAAGGACAATTTTAAAGAAATGTGATAATTAACCATTCTGTAAAAATATTTTTGAAATTAGAGCATAAGAAAAAATGTTTTTGATTTTTTTTTCTGTATGCACCATGTGGTCACGAAAAGGCGTTATATTATATTGGCTGTGATTTTTATCAAAATGTTCATAACTGCCAAGTTCTTTACCTGATGAAAGCACATAATTGTGTGTTTGAGCATACGTGCATGTAATATAATTATGATTGTTGCATTTTATATTCGTATATCATTATTTCATTATTATAAATAAAATTTATTATAAATATAAATTATTCATAATTATTATTTTCTTAATTTACAGCTGTTATAAAAACAAGAAGAAAAAATTGTGTTGTGTTCAATTATTCAATAGTTTTTTCACGCCTTGTGCGAGAATATAACGCTCTATGCTCACTTAGCATTGAGCACCATTCTTAACATAAAAGTTAAAAGTTTTTATAAATAATTCATTTAAAATTTGTTTTCTCATAACTACTTTAAATGCTACAATAATAAATTTGGGGCATAAGTTTACATTCCTAACTACAGTTGTTAAAATTTGTTTACATTTATGGTTGTTTACATCACTATCTCTAATAGAGAGTTACAAAAGTGCCTCCCACTAATATGCAGAAAGTTGATTGAGATAAAAATAGAAGAATTTTAAAAACGTTTATATCGTATTTAAATATGTTAACATAGTAATATATTGATTAAAATAACAATATATATATATTAAAATTTATTAAAATCAATTTATTGAAATAGTTCTCGTGGTTGTTCTTGTGGTTGTTTTAATAAGGTTACATTGAAAGGTATGCCGACATCGTCGAGTAATATCATCTGCCTCCAACGCGACATCTCCATCATCGTAACAACACGAAACATATAGAACGAACAATTTTATTATACTTCATTTTATCATTTCTTCTATTTTCAATTAATTTTCAATATTATTTTTTCACGACAACCTAACTTAACCCTGCCCCTAACCCTGACACATATACACACATCAACTTTACACACATATACATTATACACATTATTTTAATAAATTATACATACAGATAACGTGTAATATACGTATAAATTATAATAAAATAAAATATATAATAATAATATTATAATAAAAACATATAAAAGGCAAAAGCACATGCATCTATTTTAATCTCAGTGCACTTTTCGAATTTCAGTAGGAGGAGCTTATTTTACTCTCTATTAGAGATAGTGAATGTAAACAGACGTTGTAGTTCGGAATGTAAACTTATGTCAAATACTAATTAATCACACTACATCCAAGACTATAAAATTATGCAAGGTGTAACATGTGCAAGTAAACTGTAAAACTTAAAAGTAAAATTTAAAAAAGGAGAAAAGAACTAAAATCAATTTAATTTATTAATTCAATTATTTATTTTTATATCATATATAAATTTATTAGAAAAAAACGAACCAAAACCAATTTGAATTCTAGTATTTTTGTCTTCCTTTGTTTGTCCTTGAGCTCTTTCTTTGCTTTGACCAGTCTAGTCTCTAATCTCAGGCTCACAATCAAGCTGGAGTGTAGGGAGTTGGGGAAAAAAATGCTGAATGGCCCGCTAACGCAAACTTTATTAAACACTAAACGCTAAACAGTATTTTTTAAAATAAATTTGCTTATAAATTATTTTTGCTTTAGATTTATTTTATTTTTATGAACATTGGCTATTATATTAAAACATTATATATTTGCACAAAATGGCGAGTTACTCATGGCCATTTAAAACAAAGAACTAAATTATAAATAATATATTAATGTGTTCTTGGATTCAGGATTTGGGCATGGATATATATATCCATGGATTGGATTTGGGTAAAAAATTTTGGAATGGAATTGATGAATAGAAAGGAAATATTTTAAAAAACGCTTAATCAGTCAACGTAAATGTTTTTTTAGTAAAACTACTTTATTTTTATGTTTTAAAAATACTAAAATAAATTAGGCTTTTATTGACATAATTAGCATTTATTTCAGTATAAAAGATGATTGCATATTGCTTTACATATTTATTTTCCAATTAACACGATCTTAAAAAATTTTTCAAAAATGATATTTTTTAAAATCAATAACATCTTCCGACTCCAGGCTCCAGCCCCTCAAAAACACCGACCTGACTCCATTAAAAATCTCCGACCGACTCTGCTATAAACTATTAAAAATTTATCAAAATATATCAACGAGACGCAGTTAAATTTAACAAGTTTTCACTGTTTCTCTTTCTATGTTTATACTAAGGTAATGGTAACGTTTATTAGGCATCACTGTTTATTAACATTAATAACATTTATTTCTGTATTAAAGACGATTACATATTGCCATTCGTATGTATTTTCCAAAAAACACGATTTTTAAAAAAGTTTCAAAAAAGAAAAAGGAAATTTATTAAGTCTCAGTATTAATTATATGATTTCGTTATTAATGTTTTTTGTCATTTTTCTTTGCCATTTTGTCATTTAATTGGAATTTCAGTTCAGGGCTTCAGGGCATGCATTACTTGAATATTTAGTGCATTACAATGTAAAAGTCTAGCATTATAATAACAACCATTATAATTTGTTGTTGTTGTTGTTGAGATGCTTTTTTAACGGCGTTTCAGCACATTCTGGCTATCTTCACGCCTGTATCTTCTTTTATTTCATTTCTTCATTCTTTCCCTCATTCATTCTTTCGGTTTAATATTGTTAAATTTAAATTTTGTTAATTTGTTCAATTTTTGTAATATATCCTATTAAATTATTTTTATTCTCCCGGTTTAAAAAAATTTCCTGCATATTTGCTGAGATATTGAATTCTGATCTGGGTTGGTTGTATTTTTTGCACTATGATTATATGGAAAATTGTGAGCTGTGTTCCACATATTTCGCACCTTGGAGGAGTCCTTTTTTCAAGGATCCATGTGTGTGTCATTGATTCTATTTATCGCTGTCTGGAATCGCCTTTCAACAGTTATTATCTTTGATCCCATAGGTTCAATTTTTGGCGTTGATTTCCTTTGAAAGCTTTTGCTTTTACTCCATTCTTGTTGCCACATCGATGCCATGTATTGGTTGATTATCACCTTGATATCAGAGTATGGTATTGGTATGTTTGAGACAGGGAGGCGATGAGCCAGATTTGCAGCTTTATCGGCCTTTTCGTTCCCTTCTATTCCTATGTGGCTCGGTATCCACACAAATTTTATCTTGTTGTTATTTATTGTCATATGTGTATTTATAGAGTTTTGAATTTGTGTTATTAGTGGGTTGTTGGCTTTATGATTTTCTATTACCATCAAACTGGATAGCGAGTCAGCAAAAATCATGTATTCTTTGATGGTCTCATTTATGGTATGATTGAGGGCCATTTTTATTGCTGTTAACTCCTCTGTAAATATTGAAGCATAGGTTGGTAGATGTAGGAATAATGTTTCCTTTGTGGTGGGGATGACAAATGCTGATGATGTAGAATTTCCCATTTTTGATCCATCTGTATATATTGCTATGCTTTTGGGGCTTTTGTCTATTATTTCATGGTATATGATTTTGCGTAAATTTGGGTTTTTGTCGATTTCGTTTATTGAGAGATCTATTTCAGGTGTTTTCTGCCTCTACTTCTGCCTCTATTTCCCGCATTATTTTTATTTCCCCTATTTTTTCTAGATGCTTTTCAACTCTTTTATTTATTGTAGGGATTGCTTTTGTTGGTTTTCTAGTCGAGTTATTTGATGTTAACATGATATGTTTGTAGGCCTGTTTATTGATTTGGGTTTTGATCTTCAAGAGATAATTTAGTGTCAATTTTAATTGTCTTAGATGTCTTGGCGCTTCTCCCGCCAGGACATGCATACTTTCTGCTGGCGATGTGCGAAAGGCCCCAAAACATCTTCTTAATGCTTCGTTAATAATAGGCTCTATGGTTTTAATATAGGAGTTTCTTGTTGCTCCATATGTCTGGCAACCATAATCTAAAATGGCTTTATCGTAGCTTTATAAATTATTAGAAGGTTGTTTTGATCTGCACCCCAATTATAGTGTGATATTGTTTTAATTAAATTTAGGGCTTTTTGACATTTGATTTTAATTTTGGTGATGTGAGAGATGAAGTTTAATCTATTATCGAACGTAACTCCCAGAAATTTATATTCTTTAAATTTTATTTCATTATTTTGGAATACTATTCTTGGGTATTCTTTTCTTCTTTTTCTGGAAAAAATCAGACCATATGTTTTGGTTTTTGAGAAATTTATCCCATTTGTTGTTGACCACTTATCAATGTCTTCCAATATTTTACTTGTTTTTTTTCCATATTGTTTATTTGTTTGTCTTTGATGGTTATTGCCAGGTCGTCCATGTATAAACATGTCAATATACTTTTTGGAAGTATGTGGTTGATTGTGTTGATTTTTAGGCAAAAAAGGATTGGAGATAGGATGCTTCCTTGGGGTATGCCCATCTCCAAATGCATGACTTCTGACAGAACATTATTCACTTGTACTTGAAATGTCTGATTTGATAAAAAGCCTTCCAGTCCGTTTTTTTTTTTAAATTTAGTTGTGTTCCTCTGTCTGATCTAATCTGAGCTCTTTTAATTTTGACGATAATTGGGAAATGATCGCTACCGTGCTGATCACTGAGAACGGACCAACTAATATCATCCTTTATTGATGATGAAGCCATTGTAAGGTCTATTGTAGAGAAAGAATTTGTTCATGAAAATATGTGGGGCCAGTAGGCTTTATTAATTGGATATCCCCTCGTGTTACTATTTCTTCAATGCACTTGCCCTGTAAGTTTGTACGTTTGTTCCCCCACAAATGACTGTGACCATTGAAATCTCCAATGAGAATCAGAGGTTTGGGAAGATCATTGAGGATCTTTTAGAATCTCTTCTGTTCTTGTCAATGTGTTAGGTGGCAGATACATATTACAAATGGTTATGGTTTTGTTGGTTGTTATTTTTGTTACTATTATGTTTAAATTTTTGATTAATTTTAATTTCTGATTGCGTTATTGTATTATTAATATATGTTGTTATTCCACCAGCTGAATTTGTTTGAGATGGTTTTGCTGTTTTTGAGTAGTTTACATATTGTTTGATATCTATTTGTTTATTTGCGTTTAGTTTTGTTTCTTGTAAGCATATTATTTGTGGTTGTTGTTCGGCTATTAATATCTGTAGTTCTGGGAAATTGCTTTGTATTCCTCTGATATTCCACTGTAGAATTTTGATTTCTTCTTCTGTACTGTTGTTATTATTTTTTGCTTTGGAGTTTTTATCCATTATTGTTGTTATAAGTATAATTGAGTATTTTTGTTAGGTTATGGCATGCTTCTTCTGTTTCGTCCGTTGGGGGAAAAACATCATTATCGTCTTCGTTGCTGCTTATTGTTTGTTGGCAGCATGTTTTATTTTGATATTTGAGCTTGTTGTCATTATTATTTTTGTTAGTTGAGTCTTTATCTTCATTCTTTTTATAAACCTTGAGTGGCTCTGCCGGGATCAAATTGCAAGATGTGCTTTTGTCAGCCTTCTGAGGACAATTTTTGGTTATGGTTGCATATGTTTTTTGCTGAGTTGTTTTTTTAAATATTTGTTTTACTTCCGGGATGATGATTTTATTCATGATCTTGATTCTTATTATTTCTTTTTGCTCTTTGTATACTCGGCATGATTTGTCATAGGTCGTGTGCTTTTCTCCACAGTGATAACAATTTGTATTATTATTACATGGCTTTTCTCTAGTATGAGAGTGTCCTAATTCACCACAGTTACTACAGACAACTCTTTTATTGCTACATATATTTTTATGGTAACCATATATTTGGCATTTGGTACACCTCATCGGATTAGGAATATACTCTCTCACTTCTACTTTCTCATAGCAAATCACCATAGTTTTTGGGATTTCATGTGTTTGAAAGGTTAGGATATGAGTGTTGGTTTTAATAAGTTGTTCATTTTTTTAATGGTGATGCTTTTAACATTTACTAGTCCTTGATTTTTTAGCTCTTCTTTTATTTCCTGTTCAGAACAGTTTTTTAGTGATGCTGTTTTGATTACCCCCTTTGAAAAATTTAAAAACCTATGAGGTAAACATTTTACATTTATGGTGCTAATTTTTGATATTGTCTGTATTTGGTCTCCTTGTTTTGCGTTTTTAACTTTTACTATTATTTTATTTCTTCCAATTTTTATATTATCTACATCACCTATTTGTGCATAAATCTCTTTTTGAACACGGAAGTTCAGTTATGTCGTTGTCTTTTTCTGCTTCGATTACATTGAAGACTGGACTTACCTGAAATGTTTGTTCTTCATGTGTTGGTTCAAGTGAAGAGACTCTTGCTCTTTTGGAGGTACCTTTTTTCTGGGAAGGCGACATTTCCCGGTGACACGAGGTCACCTTAGAATAGGCAACTCTTCTTTTTTTGGCAGTATTTATAACCGAAATTATTTAAATAATTTAACTTTAAAATTATTTTCTATTATTACGTATTATTACTAGAAAATTATGCTTAATACAAGCAAGCGATAATAAAGTCCTGACCGTATCTACTTCACAGGAAGTCCCATTATAATTTATGACTAGCCGAATGAATACTCATAGAACAAAGACATCCGATAAAAAATATTCAGGAATACTTTCTGATAATAAATTTTAGAAACAGAGGAATCATCGATAGTGAAAACACGTAAAAGTGTTATATTGGACAAAGTTGAAGATTGTAAAACTAATTAAATGAGCGTTAGGTATTCACTTTGAACAAACAAGTAAACAAAAAAGTAGAGTGGAGACACAGTATACTTGAGCATCTGGCCACATAATTATAATAATAACAATAACTTATATAGCGCTAAGGAAAAGCAACTGAATCCTCTTTGCCAGACAAGCTAGTGCAACATGTTATATAATATAAAATGAAAATTACAAATAAAGCAATTAGATATAATAGAAATAATGCTGTTTAAATGTTATTAGCGATTATAGCAAAAAGTAAAAAAATAAATTTTTAGTTTTTTCTTAAAAGTAACCAGTGAAGGACAGGTTCTAATATGATCGGGTAATGTGTTCCAAATTGATAGTGAAGAATGATGTTTGACTTTTGTAGTGATGTTTGACTTTTGTAGGTGCTTTAGATGAACGAAAGTTTCATTGATGGCGATTAGATTTCTTAAGTAAATTGGCTGTGATGTTGAAAGTATCTTGAATGTTATTGTAGAAATTTTAACATACACAACGTATCAATTGGAATACCGAAGATGGTATAAAAAAACCGAATATATATATATATATATATATATATATATATATATATTCAATTCAATTCAAAAATAGCTTTATTCAGCAAAATAACAACAGTTTTTCGCTAGAAGACCCGAAGTATATATATATATATATATACCGAAATTAAACATATATAAATATATATATATATATATATATATATATATATATATATATATATATATATGTGATCATGATGAAAGCCATATGCGTTTATTGAAGAAAATCACAGCATGTTCGGCGTTAGTTAACTTTCTATTTAACTTTTCGATTTTTCTAACGGTTTATCGTAAATCATTTTTAAGTTTCTTGAGTTCAAAAACTAAATTTTTGTTCATTTTATGCATTTTAAAACAAAAAAGCTTTTTTTTGGTATTTCTATACCAATTTTCGTGTTTCAAATTGATACGTGGTGTAATTCCCCAGATGCTCAAATATATATAAACTGTATCTCTACTCTACTTGGTTGATTCCTGGTTTATTCAAAGTGAATACTTAACGCTTAACCTTTTTAATTAGTTATACATTTTTCAACTTCGTTTAATATAACACCTTTACGTGTTTTCATTATCAATGTTTCTAAATTTATTGGTAGGAAGCATTCCAGTTGCCAGTTGTTGAATATTTATTAACGAATGTCTTTGTTCTATGAGTAGTGATTCGGCTAGTCGTATTGTAAATTATAGGGGAGACCGGGGCACATTGAACCAATTTTCATAATTTAACTTGTCGGACATTAAAACTTTTTGATGCAGGTCATTATTATGTAAAATTATGTCTTTTACGCATAGCAAAAATTCTATCGACTTCTAACAAGTATCTATGACATTATAAAGATTTATTAGTAAGCTTGTCGTGTGTCGGGGTACGTTGAACCAATATTGTTTAACACATTTTGATAATCAGTTTTATTGTTTTCAGTGAAATATTTTTAAATCTAAATATGTTATTTAAATCAAATTGATTTTTTGAATAGTGACAAGGACACAAAAATACAATTAACCAAGACATGAGTAATACAAAATAGAGTCCTTTGGGCAACAGCGTTCATGGAACTATTCTTAACAGGACGGACATTTCTTCCAATTTTCAAATGGAAGTACATTGGCCAGTATGCCACAGAGATGACAAGGTGTGTTGTCGTCACTCGTAATTATAGGAATGTTATTCTTACTTTTCTTTTGCTTTTCCGACACTTTAGCCGTCTTTCTTGAAATCTGCTGATTACGGTCAAATAAAATCTTTCTCTTTTTAGTGATGGTCTTTGATTCACGAGCTTGTTGACAAGCTTCCAGCTCTGCTTTCACTGGTGTATCTGTCAAAATCTGAGTCTTGCCTTTTTTTCGATTTCCTGTACTTGTCTTTCACGGTCCAGCTTTTTTGAATGACCTGATCATTTCCGGCGTGACGTTAGATTCCTGCTGGTTTCTAGATGTCGATTAAGTTACTCTGATTGAGAGGTGGGGGTGTCTTTTCATGAATGCACTAAACCAATCAGCCCCAGTTTTCTTAATATATTTCTCTAATGAGCATTCTTCGTCATCAGTAAACACCTTTCTTGACTGACTATAACCAACTCTAAATGTTGACAATGCAGAATTCGGTGCATTATTGTATTTTTTGCAATATCTAATCAATGTCGCGTGGTCAATGTTATATTTGCGGCTAATAGCACGGAGACTCATTTTACCATCTAATACTTCTTTCACAGCAACTAGCATTATATCTGAGGAAGTGCTACCTCTGTTTGTAGTTCGCTGTCGAGATCTGACCGTATTGAGTTTGTGTTAGATCCTGTTTAAAAAACAATGTTTCAGTTGTTGATGTTATCGTTAATGCCATTCAAACTTTAAAAATACAATTGCAATAAGAATAAAACCAAAAAAAGAGAATAATTTTGAAGTAGACTAAGTACAATCATCACATATCGTATTGCATTGATGTCAAGGGCAGGTTGAACCATGGTTCAACGTACTTCCGACAACATGGTTCAATATGCCCCAATCATTGTGGTTTTAGTATTTCAACTGTAGCATCATTAACATGCTACAAAAGCGTGTAAAAAACCACGTACTGTTTTACCAGATAAAAACACTACAAAATTATTTACATTTATTGCAATTGCAATTGTATTTTAAATAACAATAACCTCAATTTCTCAAAATTACTCGAAAGGGGCAAAACCACATACGTGACATTTACTCGAAAATTTGCAGACATAAACACGCGAAATTAACTCTGCTAGTTCGTTTTGCATTAATAATTAGAAATTTATCTTCTTGGTTTAACATGCCCCGTGGTTCAACATGCCCCGGTCTCCCTAATGGTTGTCATTGTAATGTAAGATGTAACATTATGGTCCAAGATTTGTCTAGTAATTTTAGTTTTGTGTTTCTCTTTCATGTGAATATTTATAGCGCCAGAAAAAAAAGATGTTCTAAATATCAGTAATTTATCTTCCAGCACAGATTCACTCATTCAACTACATTGGTTACTAGTACGTCGACGCATTATATTTAAACTCGCCGTTCTCACGTACAAGTTAATACATTTCAACCATAATATCTTCATCAACTTATATCGCGTCGTTTATAAGCTTGTCAACTTCGTTCGTTGCCTGCCATCATTCGTCAACAACCAACAATCAACTTTCTAGGAAACGATTAAAGAACTTTTTGTTTATCCAAGCGTACGGAAACGTGAAAAGTCATTGTTTTTGTAAACGCTCCTGAAGCTATGCATATGACGCGATATAGAATCTGTCAAGTGGGCTTTCTTGATTTTGGTTATCTAGAGAAAGTAAAAGTTGTAACAAGGTTTCTGTAGGTGAGCCTGCGGAAGAATCACTGATGGTTCATTGTCATCTTTTGCACAGCGAGTGAAAACAAGCAAAACACGACTTCCTGCAGAGCCGATCGATTCGATTTGAAATCGTTAAATAAACACACATTCTCCACCAAGCTATATACTATATACTTAGAATACCTAAAATTTTAGGTATATGCAAATATATATGTGTATACTGTATTGTCATAATTATGAAATAATACTGACTAAAAATACTTCAAAGCCCTTCAACGCAAAATTAATTCACTCGATAGGTGGCTTGATGCAAAAAAAGTTCACTCGATAGGGGGCCTGATGCGAGTTAATTCTCTCGATAGGTGGCTAGACGATTTTTTTTTGTTTTGCAATTTAGATGACGTCATAAATTATTACAAATTACTTTAAAATTTAATTAGTAGTTTTTTTGATTAATTTGACATACCTTGGAAATTTTTATGCTTAAAAACACCCGAAACAAAATCTAATTTTGCTTTGATATAGAGTTTCTTTATCTTTAAGAGAAAGAGAGTCCGCATTGGGTTGACTAGTTAGGCAGCCTTGAATAATCGGGGCCTATTCTGGTCTCTAAGAGACTTAATTCGATATTCTATGACCATTGGCACGGAAACGTCTTAAGTTCTCGAAGAGTCCGCCTTGGGTTTACCAGTTAAAGCTTTGAGTAATCGGTGCCTATTCTGGTATCTAAGAGAGTTAATTCGTGATTCTATGCTCATTGGCATAGTTTCAGAAACGTCTTAAGTTCTCAAAAGTGGATTTGGTACGAGACTCAATGCTCATTGGCATAGTTTCGCACGCGTACTAAAGTCACACAATTTGTTCCCAGTGTTGTTCTGACTCTTGTTGTTTTGTGTTGGTTGTGCGAAAGCCAACCAGACTCGACGGCCCAGTGAAAACCGACCGACCGACCGACCGGCTGACCGACCGACTGACTGACAGGCCCAGTGAAAACAGGCCCTTGGTTGTGCGAAAGACGACCAGACTCGTCGGCCCAGTGAAAACAGGCCAGGGTTGTGCGAAAGCCGACCGACTGACTGACAGGCCCAGTGAAAACAGGCCTTTGATTGTGCGAAAGCCTACCAGACTCGACGGCCCAGTGAAAACAGGCCAGGGTTGTGCGGAAACCGACCGACTGACTGACAGGCCCAGTGAAAACAAGCCCTTGGTTGTGCGAAAGCCGACCAGACTCGAGGCCCAGTAAAAGCAGGCCAGGGTTGTGCGAAAGCGGACCGACTGACTAACAGGCCCAGTGAAAACAGGCCCTTGGATTCTGTGAAAACGAATCCGCCTCGTTGTTTTGTTTTTGTTGTGCTATTTGTGGATTCTTTGTTCTTTGCTGGATTCTATACTCATTGGTATAGTTTCGCACGCAGCTTGGAATTTCCATGGAATTTTTGTAATTTTTCTGCATTCATTTTATTTATCTCTCGGAGTTGTATCGACACCACTATCGGTCACACACGTCGAGGTTGTACGATTGAACGGCAAGAAACACATCTAAAGTTGCCCGATCCAACAAGAAGAAGTTCTAATTCCTGCATTCCAGTTTGTTCATTGACATTATTATTAATTATTATTCAATTCCTTTTCATTTACTTCCGTCGATTAATAAAATTGTTATCGAATATTTTACGCGTTCGTGTGTTACTCAGTAAAATTATATAATTCGAAAAAGCCTAGTGCCACACAGGACTGGTCGAACTCACGATAAAAATATACCAAAAAATTATTGTCGGATCGTAAAAAAATTCCCTGAGAAAGATAGAGGAAGAGATTTCCTCACTTCTAGTGCAAATTTCCGACAGTATATATATATTATATAAGTAAATGTTTATATATATATAGTTTTGTGACATTTTCTCAATTTTTTATAAGTTTTATCTAATGATTCATTTTAGATAAGATTTATTTAATAATTATTTAAAATTTATTTTTATTCGTTCACACACATTTGCAATTTTAAATTACAGTATTAAAATTTTTTTAAAACCAATTTTTGTTAAATTATATTTATTTAGCGGGAGGCCTGTCAAGCACGACGATCCCGATTCAACGTGGCTATATAACACCAGTAAAAAGATACTAAATATGTTTAAATACTATGCGAATGCATAAAATATATCAATTATAAATAATCAAAATGAATATAATAAAAAAAAATTTATAATACAATATAAAAATTAAAAAATTGTAAAGTTTAAAAAATGGAAACTAAAGAACAACTTCAGGCCCTATAGTGTACTGAAAATGTGTGCGGGTGCGTTCGAGGGCCAGTATAGATATTCATGTGTTTTGATATTTAAAAATAATAAATAGTATTGTGTCTTTGGGTTTACCTTTAATATGTTTTTTTATCTAGTGAAATATAAATAAATAGGTTTGATAATTGTCAAATCCATTTTTATAAATTAATTATTATGCCAGTGATGAAAGACCACAAATACAAATATCGTAACGTTTTGTTCATTTATTTCAAAATTTTGATCCATTACTTTTAATAGTCTAATATAATAGTATAATACAATACAGAATACACTATCCTAGTATAATTTTATAACAAACCAGTTATATTACAGAAACAATAAAAGAGAAATTAATTGTTGATTAATTAATTTAATAATTAAAAAAATAATTTAATTAATTATAATATTTATAAAATAAATTTTAAAATGATCCTGGTCCATCCACTTTTTGTCATATCTTGTTGTAATTTTAAGCTGATCCATTGTTGGCCTAATTAAGAAGAGTTAGCATGCAGTTCTTTCTGATGTGTGATCAATCCTATCCCATCCTTCTATCTATCCATATAAATATCCATATAATATATTATTTATTTATTTTTCAGATCTTTAATTCTTCATCATGGTTCATCAATCTATATCACTTTCTATCTAGCACCTATCTGCCTCTGACTCTCTTATACACTCATAAGTAAATAATTAAGAGGCAAACATGAGATGAGATAATATAATAGATTTTAGAGTTTAGTTGGATAGTTGTTAAAATAGATAGAAATTTTTACAAAATAAACAGATAGAAATAAAAATGATTTTTTAGCAACAGAATATAATATGAACAATAGGCAGTAGATTAATTATAAATAAAATAATAGTATAATTTTTTTTAATTTTTATTACTTTGTAAAAAACTTTTCTTTTAATAATAAAAACTAGATAATTAAAAACAGTATAATTAATTAAATGGAATAATTGATAGAGACAACAGAAGAGTGACTGTGAAAGAAAAATATAGATGCCGAGGTCAAAGATATATAGTTGATAAAAATGGTTTGATAGCAGTTGGATAGATAAATGATAGATCTTACCAGAATGAGAATAGAAAAAAATTTTTAACTGATATATATTATATAAATGTATTTTTAGTATACGGTGACTAATTTGGTGATAAAGGTTTATTTTTAGTTTGGTAATTAATTGGTAGTAAGAAGAAGATAGATTAGATATTCCTGTCTATGAACTATAAAGTTTGGCTAAATTTATATTCATTCATCCATATATTTTTTTCAGACCACCTGACTTGAAAATTTTCATCCAAAAAAGCAGTTCTGATAACAAAGAATTTTAATAACTTCATCAAATTATAATGTCCACTGTTAAGCCATTTTCTAATTATGGACGCCAAAGTCTTAAAAAAAGTGAATCAGAACGAAGAAAAGTAATTTGATCATTTTAAAATTTAATATGATTTTTCAAATATAATTTGAGTTGTCTTAAACTTAATCCTTCTAAGTTTGAATTAATTTGTTTTAATAAATCTAAACACTCTATTACTATTCCTCCTATTATCTTACCTGATTCTAAAACTCTTGATGTCTCTCATAAGTTTCGTGGTCTAGGTTTTATCTTTGATTCTACTATGTCTCTCTCTTCTCAGATTAATAGTGTTTTTAGAAGCTCTTACTTTCATCTACGTAGAATAAAAAAACTTTTGCCTTTTCTTGATGATCCTACTCTTCTCCTTCTTGTTACTTCATTAGTCTTATCTAGGATTGATTATTGTAACTCGCTCTACTATGGTCTTCCTGACTCTATACTCTATCCTTTAAGTAAAGCTTTTAACTCTGCTGCTCGTCTAGTTGCTCGTGCCCCTTTCTTCTCTCATATATCTCCATATCTTGTTCTCTTGCACTGGCTACCTATAAAATATAGAATAATTTTTAAAATTTGCACGTTCATGTATAAGTCTCAATATAAATTATTTCCTAAGTATTTATCAGATATATTAATTGAACCTAAACGCCCCGGTTTACGATCGTTTTCTTCTTCTCGCTTTTTCTTAACTCGTGTTAAACACTCTTTTGCCAAATCTGCTTTTGCTTTTTCTGGTCCTTTTCTCTGGAACTCTCTACCTACTTCTCTGACTACTTCTCCATCACTTGCGAAGTTCAGAGCGGATCTCAAGACCCATCTGTTTTTAAAATTCATTGAGGAGCGCTGTTGAACATCGCGGAAATAGCGCTTTATAAGCTAATTGATTGATTGATATTATTATTTTTGAACTCGCTTCAGGCATTAGTGTCTTAATTAATTATTTGATAGATTAAATAGATGTATCTGATGTCTATGTAAATAAAAAATTAAACTTTATGTACAGTGTTAATTTTCCTTAACAAACTCAGGGTTATTCAGATGTTAGAGGGGGTTTATCTTCAAGACATTATTCAGTGAGAATGGCACCTTTACCCCCTGAGCTACAAAATATTGGCAAGTACCGGCTCATTAAAACCATAGGTTTGTTTTTCTCTTTAATTTCATTTCAATCTACCATCATTTTTGTGATGATCATGTTTAATAATTCCTAATATTCTCAGGGAAAGGAAATTTTGCAAAGGTCAAATTGGCTAAACATTTGCCAACTGGTAGACAAGTATGTTGTTTGTTTATTGTTCCATATTCAAGTTGAAATTATTACAAAATGGTTGAACTTAATTTTTATTTAAAAATGAAAGGTGGCTATAAAAGTTATTGACAAAACACTTTTGAGTTCTACAAGCAAAGCTAAGGTAGCGATTTTAGTTTACATTGTAATCATTCATTTACATTCAATTGATAATTGGTTTGAATTAAGTTTTGCTTGTTAAATTTAGTAATTTTGTGCATAAACATGAATAGTTATTAAATGTGAATCGTTATAATGTGAGTTGTTGTTATTAGATGTGAATTGTTGTTGTTAAATGTGAATCATTGTTATTAAATGTGAATCATTGTTATTAAATTAGTTGTGGAGGGAGGTGCGAATAATGAAGACTTTAGACCACCCAAATATTGGTATCCACTTTATTTATTACAATCATCTGTCAATTAATTTAATGGATTTGTTTAATGTTGTCATTTCCAGTTTTGTCTTCACTATGGTCATTGTAATTTTTTCTAAATAATGATAGGTTCAAAAATTTAACCAATATTTTTATGTTATTCTATGTTGAAATAATTTTTCTATGTTTTAATTCATTGAAAGTGAAATTATTCCAAGTCATGGAGACAGATCGATACCTCTATTTAGTGATGGAGTACGCAAGTGGGGGTAAGCAATATTCTTGTGATGATGATTATGATTATTGTTATTTATTTATTATTATTTTTTTTATTTTATTCTTCATAATGCCACTCTGTCAAAAGCAGAGCTGCTTACATGTTATTCTGTATTTGGAATTTAACTTTTGTGCCACAAGGCTATACTATCCACAAAACATACAATGCACATGCACATTATGTATGCATGCACAGGCGCCGTACGTACGCGTATGACAGTCTTTGAGTTTCAGACAGAATATTTAAACCATGCCATCATGAAATAACCACGTGAGACATGACGCTTCTACCAACTGAACTAACTCAGTGACCATTATTATTATTGTTGTTATTATTAATATTCATATTTTTCCTTTTGCATCATTTTGTGGAGAATGGGGAATCCAGATCTCAACAAGAGTTCACAGATATTCAGCCCAAGACCTATCGGAGAATGTGTGCTTTTCCATCAATGCAATCTTTTGAATCTCAAAACTTGATGGGTGTCCGGGGAGTGTTTGCAGATGTTCGTCAATTTCATTTCTGACTGTACCCGGTTCGCCAACTATCATTGGGATTATTTTGTTTTAGGGCTCCACATTCTGCCTATCTCGATTTCCAAATCTCTGTATTTACTTTTTTTTCGGTTTCTTTGGTTGAAACGTTTGCATCATTTGGCATGGCAATATCTATTAGGTAGCCTATTTTATTTTGTCCTGAAAGATTATGTCAGGGCGGTTGGCCATAATTGTTCGGTCTGTAATTATAGGTGCACCCCATAAGATGCTGATGTGACCTACGTTTGTTTACCACCTTATTCGGGATACGAATATAATATTTTTTGCATACTTCTGCACCCAAAGTCTTACATATCATCCGGATTTTTTAATTTAAAAATTTGTTTTGATTAAACAACATCCTACCTCGGGGGAACTGGGTTTCTGGACGCTAAACGAAGATACTCAAGGAATTAAATGATCCACTATATATGGACCCACGTATGGGCTGACCCATTTTGGAGATTTGCCTTGCCATGATCTTGGGTACAGGTACCATACCTTGTCTCCCGGTCGTAGAGTCAGGACTTTGACCTTAGCATCAAACAATGACTTCCTATAAAGTGCTCCTGTCTTTAGCCTTTCCCGCGCCAATTGATGAGCTACTAATGACCGGTTGAGCACTTGTTTCACAAATTCATGGTAAGTTTCACCTAGGTTGGATTCTTTAGGTAATCGATACACCAGATCCACTGGCATCATGTTTTCTCTCCCTAAAAATAACCTATTTGGGGTAAACCCTGTCGCCGAATGTACGCTTGCCCGGTACGCTGCCATAACGTGTGGTAAATGTTCATCCCAATCACTCTGGGATTCGTCTACAACTTAGGCCGGCATTGAATTAAGCGTTTTATGGAATCGCTCTATCGCCCCATTAGATTGTACGGGGATGTCCTCAACTTTTCGATTCCCAAAGTATGTAAAAGCGTAGTAAATAGTTCGCTTTCAAACTCCCTAACCTGATCTGTGAGTATTTGCATCGGCATTCCAAACCTCGGAAAAATTTCTGTGGTTAAGACCTTAGACACTGTAGCTGCTGTGTGCTTTCGTATCGGAAATGCTTCTGCCCACTTCGAAAAATGGTCCAAAATCGTTAGTATAAAGATATGCCCCTTCTTCGATTTTGGATGTATGAAACATTTTGACGTGCACAGCCGTCAAGGGGATATGTAAATTCATATATCAGATGGCTACTTTTTAAAGCCAAACCATGCTGAGGAGTGCAGTTATTGTTAATGACAAGGTTTGATGTCTGCTTTTCTATAATAAATTCGTAGATTTATTTTGTCAGAAGAGTTAGTTGGTTTGACATTTTTATAAATGATTTGTTTTAAAACGCATTCGTTCGTTTTGTCGTTTGTGTTCATAGGATTCTTATAATAAAAGATGATATCAGTGTTTGGATTATTATAGCTCAGGTGCATTGGGCAGTTTATAATAAATCCAGTGCTTGTTGCGTTTTATTTTATTGTTTTCATAGTCTTTTGGAATGAATAATAATAGCGTTCACTTAATGATGATGATTGTGAGGGTAGCTACAATTATAAAACTTGTGTTAGTGATGATTATGATCCTGGTGGTGACAATGATGTTGTTTATGTTGATGATTGTGATAGCTGCAAATGAGGATTCAGTGATGACAGCTTGATAATGATGGTGGTGATGACAGCAGTGATATAACGAGTTGGTTGATGAAGTGATGATGAATATAAGAATGGCTGATCAATTCAAACAGGTGAACTTTTTGATTATCTGACATCTAATGGGAGATTAAAGGAGAAAGAAGCTAGGATGAAGTTTCGACAGGTACGTCATAAGAGGGTCGTCAATATTTGTGATGACGATGATGATGTTGACTGCGATGGTAAAAATTATGGTTTAAAAAAGCGTTGCAATGATGTTGAAGGCTGAGATTACTAGTTTAATAATAATGTTGATAAATTAATTAAAATGATAATAATAAATTGTTGGTTGATAAAAAATTTGAAAAACTGTTATTGTTATCATTAGATTCTCTCCGCTGTCCATTATTTCCATCAGAAAAACATTGTGCATCGAGATTTAAAGGTAAGAACTTGTACACTTTTTTGTACAACCATTCTATTGTTCCCATTCGACCAGTTATAAATACTCAGTCACACAAATATGACATATATAACCATGCACTCCCACACGCTTATTAAATATTATATGTTTGATACTTAATTTTTATGGGTTTCTGTAGTTTTATTATGTGTGTGTGTATATATGTATATATATATATATATATATATATATATATATATATATATATATATATATATATATATATATATATGAGGAGGACGTTTCCCACAAACGCTGCAACTACAGTTTGTGGGAAAACTGGTACAAAACGTCAGCATGAACGGGACACTTGGTGGTGGAATGACAGTGTACAAAATGCAATAGCTGAAAAGAAAGTTGCATACATAAATGGCAAAAATTAAAGTCTGTTGATGACAATAAAATTTTCCATGAGAAGAACAACTATGCAAGACGTCAAGTTGCACTGGCTCGGACAGATCAGTGCAGAGAGTGGCTCACTAACAGCAAAGGTGAACAAATGAAATCTCTGTATCATATAACAACACAGGCAAAGCGTACGAAAAAAGACATAGTTGGTGCCTTATGTATCAAAAACGACAATAAGATGGTTTTTGAACAAGATGAGATCAAGCTACAGTGGAGAGAATACTTCTACCGTCTGTTAAACGAAACAAATCCCATCAATGTTAACTTAGACGCTCCACCCATCGAAGGTCCGATTGCAGACATCACTGTAGAGGAGCTTACAGAAGCTCTGAAAGCTATGAAGGATGGAAAGGCAGCGGGGCCCTCTGGACTCACAAATGACATTATCAAAGCATTTGGTACTGAAGGTATCCAAACGTTACTACAACTTTGCCGTGAAATCTGGAGAAATTGCTCAATGTCGACTGAATGGAACAATAGCATGACAGTTCCGCTATACAAAGGCAAAGGTGATCCATTTAACTGTTCATCATATCGGGGTATACGTCTGTTAGAACACTAACTGAAAATTGTCGAGAAAATCATTGAGAGAAGATTAACGTCGTGCATCACAATCGGAAATTATCAATTTGGTTTCTTAGTGGGGAAATCAACAATTGATGCAATTCACATCTTTCGGCAACTGCAAGAGAAGTACCTCGCAAAGCATCAACAACTATCACACATTTTTGTAGACCTTGAAAAAGCATTTGATCGAGTTCCCCGTGAAGCAATCAGGTGGAGTCTACGTCGACAACTCATTCCAGAATATCTTGTTTGACATGTGATGGAAATGTATACGAATACTAAGACTCTCGTCAGCACAACGGTTGGAAACACAGATGCATTTGACATCGGCGTTGGAGTTCACCAAGGCTCGATTCTCAGTCCATTGTTTTTTATAACTGTGATGGAAGAAATCACAAAACCGATACGCACTGGTGACATTTGGAATCTAATATATGCTGATGATATCGTTTTAACAGCCACGTCTGAGCAGAATGCAGCACAGATGTTTGAAGATTGGAACACCAGACTCGTCGATCATGGATTCAAAGTCAACATCAGCAAAACCAAAGCAATGAACACTGGTGAACCCATCCAATCCACAGCTACTGGACGATGGCCCTCTTCAGTTTGTAAAGCTGGTGTAGGTAACAATTCAATCAAGTGTCAGCAGTGTAACCAGTGGTGTCACAAACGTTGTTAAAAAATAATTGGTACTTTATCTAAAGTGTCCAATTTTGTTTGTCCTGCTTGCATCAATCCACAACAACAAATTTGAAAAAGCACTGTTTTTGAAGCCTATTAAGGTAGAGAAAGTCACATCGTTTCAATATCTAAAAGGATGTTCTGGATTGTACTGGAACAGCTGAAGCTGCCGTTCGAGCACGCATACGTGCAGCCTGGAATAAATGACATCTCTTTGTCTCTATATTGATGCGGCGTGACATCCCACTACCACTACGATCAAGATTTTATAAATCTGTGATACGTCTGGTCTTGTTATATGGTGCCAAAACATGGCCAATGACAACCAAACTGGAACAACAGCTTCAACGAACCGATATGAAAATGCTCCGATGGATGCAACGAATTAGTCTGAATGACCACATCAAATCTTCCGAAATCCTGCGTCGTGCTGGTTTAGATGATATAAAGGACGAATGCCGGCAACACCGTCTGCGGTGGTTTGGTCATGTCAAACGAAGGGGAAACAGTGCCATAACTTCTCTTGCAGGTGTTGAAGTACCTGACACACGTTCCAAAGAAGTCCTGGTCGCAAACAATCGAGCAAGACATGAAAGCTCTGAATTTAAATGAAATGGATACAACTGATCGTCTAATTTGGCGCAAAAAATTGATAGCAAAGAAAACAACGTCTTATCTCGGGGAAACTGGGTCTTTAGACGCTAAACGAAGATTGATTGATTGATTGATATGAGGAGGACGTTATTGATCAAACACCAGTTTGAACTGTTAAGTGGTGAATAAATAGTTTCAAAGGATGGACAAATTGCAACCCGCCAGGCCATTTTTTGTGGCCAGCACCATGATCTCCTAAACATTTGCGCAAATAATGTTGTATTTTCGTCATGTTATTACTCTTGCCTTGTCTGAGAACGTTTCAATTTTCCACTTTTCAAAACTTATCCAATGTTTTGGTCCACAGGCTTTTACAAACAAATTTTCTTGTTTGAACATAAATAAATCTAAAAACAGTCAGCACTGAGTGATTGCTTTTTAAATGAAAATAATCTTAAACCAAAACTAGTCTGATTCCACATTTAAAATTTATATAAAAAGCGTGAACAATTACAAATATGTATTACTTGTAACTGAAGTTGATGTAAAAAGATGTAACTTATTTTTATTAACATCTAAAAAGTTGTAAAGCATATTTTTATTTCTATATGTAAATATATGTATACATCATTTGTGTGTGTCTTCGATAATGATTTTTGTACCATCAAGATATTATTACACATCTATCATTATGTATGTATATGTATGTGTGGCCATTTAAAATGATCATCAAATATTAAATGTTGAATGTCTGTAATTATTTTTCAACATTGTCAGTCGATATATAACGCAAGGTTGTTTCAAGTTTGTTATTTTTTATAGGTTGGAGCGAAAATGTTACAGCTCTGTAAATATAAACTAAAGTTGTATAATGATAAAGCATTTTGAAGCAACTATGCAAACCTTGCTTTATAAGCAGTTATTTTTTATCATTTTACTATAATGCAGGCAGAAAATTTACTGTTGGACAAAGATTACAATGTAAAAATTGCTGATTTTGGCTTCAGTAATGAGTTTTGTCCTGGTAGTAAGTTGGATACATTTTGTGGCAGTCCACCTTACGCTGCTCCTGAGCTTTTTCTTGGTTAATTCAAGTTATTTTTACAATTTCAAGTTGATTTTTTTCGGCATACTGTTAGCGTGTTTTGATATTTTGATTTATTGCGTAACTATGAATCCAGGGAAGAAGTACATAGGACCTGAGGTTGATGTTTGGAGCTTAGGGGTCATCTTATATACACTGACCACTGGTGCACTACCATTTGACGGTTCAAATTTGAAGGTAATATTTCATGAAGATCTTGATTTAATTTTCTGACCTTTGTTTATTTTTGTCTCTAAATTATACAGGAATTAAGGGAGAAAATTGTGAAAGGCAAATTCAAGGTGCCTTTTTTCATATCAACTGAGTGCGAGAGTTTATTGAGAAAATTTCTCGTCACCAATCCTTTGAAGAGGATTTCTCTGGAGGTTAGAAACTTAGAGCGGTATTGACATTAAATGCTATAACATAACGTAAAGGAATAATAAAAGGCGCAAACTATAAGTAACCATGTACATAAAAATGGTTAATAACATCAAAAGAGAAAAAAATTTGCATAAAATAATCTTGTATGAAAGTTAAAATTATAAATACATATTAAAAAACCAAATACTAAAATTTACATTAAAAATAATTTAAACTGAATGCCATAAGACTAGTGAAAAAATTCAAATTTTAAGAGCGTAAGAAATATGTAAAAATGCCTGATAACATAAGAAAAAACATGAGATTTAAAAGAACGTAAAATTCAAACAAAAATTTACTTAGGAAACTAGATATACAGATATCTTACTTTCAAACAAACTATATATATATATATATATATATATATATATATATATACAACAACACACGTTTAGACGACATTTTCCCCGAGATCGGGGGGTTGCCGATATATATATATATATATATATATAATATAGTTTATATATATATATATAAACAGTATATATAAATAAACAAAAATATATATATATAGTTTATATATAGTTTATATATATATATATAATATAGTTTAGATGATGAATTTGTTAAAATTGATTTTTTCAATTCTGAGGTTGCTATGAAGGACAAATGGGTGAACCAGGGATATGACGGCACGGAGCTGAAGCCCTACTCTGAACCAGCTGATAAAATTAATGAAGAAAGACTGGGTTTGTTTAGCCCATTCATTTATTTAACCGTTAATTTTTTATAATTCTTCCTGTCATGTTGTCTGTCTTACAATATTTCCACTTTCGATACGCTTGGCCAGCCGAAGTTTTAAGGGCAGGTGTATTTTGGAATAACCTATCCCATTAGTGTAAGTGTTATTCAATAAGCGTTAATTAAATTTATATTTTATTAAATTAATTAACCGAATTTAATTCAATTTCAGTTGAATAAATGACGTGATAAGCTTGTCTCTTTGGTAAAATTTTACAAAAAAACGTGAAACCTAAAAGTGTGACGTTTTTTTTTACTAAAATGCTTTGGCGAATAAATTTATATTATTTACAATAAATGCGAAAATTTCCCGATTACATTGCAAGAATCTATCAGCAGACCTAGTTAAGTTAATGAACTAATGAATTAGATTGAATAATAAATGTAATTAGTAAATGTAAACAGTAAAAGTACTGTAAAGTAGAATAAAAGGTTTTTAAACTTTAAACTTTTTTCATTTATTCATTAATTCATTTATTCATTCATTAATTAATTCATTCATTCATTAGAGCTTGCAAATTGCATTTGCCACTGTCCATTTGTCAAATTTAATGAGTCGTTTGCAATTGGCTTCTTCTAACGTTTTCATTCATTCATTTTCATTCTCCATTATTTATTTGACCGACTTATTCACCCGACCCAGATCACACAAACATCATGCACACATCATCGCATCATGCAAACATCATCACATCATGCAAACATCATCATATCATGCAAACATCATCACATCATACAAACATCATCACATCATGCAAACATCATCACATCATGCAAACATTATATNTGATGAGCAGACATTTATGGGTCAACATGGGCTTCTCAAGGACAGAAATCATCAACTCGATCAGTATGCACCTCTACGATGATATCCTGGCTACCTACCTTCTACTGGGGATTAAAGTTCCACTTGTAAAATAATCCAATTGTATTATTTAGTGATCCTTTGTTTGAATGATTGTTTGAAATGTTTGCTAAGCCATTAATTGGTCAATTAAATGTTTGTTAACTATTAATTTATCAATTTAGTAATTAAATTGTTCATTCGATTTAATGAATATATGAATGAATGAATGAATGAATGAATGAATGAATGAATGAATGAATGAATGAATGAATGAATGAATGATTGAATGATTGATAAATTTTCTAGTGTATTAGAAAAAACAATGTTGTTAGTGTACGTGGAAATGTTTTATAATTTGATGAACAGTTGGACAATAGTTCATCATACACATGGAGCAACATATCCCTCGGCCGTTCCAACACAACCATCAACCCGTCCACAAAAAATTCCAACCTTCTAAGTGCTGGGATAAACAGAGTTTTGAACCCGGGCACGATCAGGACTCCTTCTCATCCTGCCACAGTGGCCTTAACAGAGGAAGCTGACAGCAAAACAAATAATGCAAATGACATCAATTTCAATAAATTCAATAAAGAAACTAAACAAGTTGTTTTTTCTCTTTTATAGTGTACAAAATATCACAAATATAGAAACGAAAATAAATATTGTCAGCAGGTTGTGCCGGCAAGTCCATACAAGAACAGGAATGCAGGCTTTTTCGATCAAATCATTGTGCCTGACCACAAGCCTCAGCCACAAACGAAAGGATTGTTCAGTCGCTTTCGAAGTCACAACAACAACAATAATAACCTGCAGCATCAACATCAACAACAGCAGCTACAACAACAGCAATATCTTCAGCAGCAGCAACAACAGCTGCAACATTATCATCAGCAGCAACATAAAGATGAAAAGCATTGTTTGTTTACGGTAGGGGAAGGCAGCGTTATAACAAACAATGCTAGCAATAACAACAACATCAATTACAACAACTATAATATTAACAATAACAATTATGTCTATGATAATTATAGCAGAAATAGCAAATTTGTAGCTCCTGAAAATCAAAAAAGTGTTCTACCACTGAATTCTGGCAGAAGGCAAGGAAGTTTTGATAATGCTCTGGTTAAAGAAGGTTACTGTCTCATTTTATCATCTCATTAACAACAACAACACTTTTAAATTAATTACATTAACATAACTTCAAATTAATCACATTAACAACAGCATCTTCAAATTAATCACATTAACAACCACTACCTCCATTTAACAATTACTTGAAATTAATCACATTAACAACAACAACTTCAAATCAAATTACATTAACAGTACTTCAAATAAATTGCATTAACTACAACTTCAAATCAATCACATTAACAGCTACTTCAAATTAATTACATTAACAGCAATTTTATGAACGGCTGATTTGTCTGCTTTATGGCATAATTTAAAATTTGAATGATTTATTTAGATTTGTTTGATGATAATGTATCTACATTGTAAGATATACTGAATAGTAAGTTAGGCCAAAAGCTGAATGGTCGATCCACTATTTGGCTGAAGCTGAAGGCCGAAATTACTATTAAACTCACTCACTCACTATTTTGAAGAAAAAATTTTTAGAATGACAAACAAGCTATTGAAAAAACAGTAGGCTATTTATATCTATTCAACAATTCTTCATCGAGACATATTCAACCCCTTGTTCAAAATAAATTTCTTGCTGATAATATTCTACAATATTGTACTGGGACCAAATAAGCGATGGCTTAAACTGAAGTTGCACTATTCGGCTATATGGCCGAAGTCGAATATTAAATTGTGCCGTAATATTCCGCCAGGCCAAACATTCGATGCTTCTCTACTAAATGCCGATAAATAGTGTGAAAGGTGATGGGTGAATATATCCATGATTAGCATTCACTTAATGTAATCAGCCTCATAAAATTATCATCATTAAAAAACTTCATGATGATGATCATCATCGTCTCCATTTGACGACAAGGTACTCCGGAAGCAGAACCCTTTACAAGAATTACTTCATTCAGAATGCCGACGTCTAACTCTGCACACCAACATGCGAACTTTGTGGTGGGTGCTGGTAGTAGTGATATTGATGTTTTGGCGGGAGATAAAATGAAAAGTTATGAAGAATCATCAATTGGGGACAGAAATAAAGTTTGTTCATTTTTTTATAAGAGATTTCAATAAACATTTAGTATCAGTACGATTATTTGATGTAAATGAACATATTCCATATGCGTGTCATAGGGGTCCGCAACCTTCAGACCGGTGCCGGCTATTCGACTAACCAAGAAGTTGGACAACAGAATAGTCATGGAGTCTTCCATTGAATGTGATTCAGATGATGTCAGTAAAAATAAAAAAGAAATAATGAACAACAGTGATATGGATGAATTGGTTGAGGATGATCTCGCACCTGCCAAAACATATGTGTCCGTAGTCTTCACTTTTTTTTTATTTTGGCATCATTTATTTTGTTTGTCTTTTTTTTGACACACACCACACACACACACACACACACACACACACACACACACACACACACACATATATATATATATATACTTACTGTTGGCGCTTTTGAGATCTTTTTTAATATAAATTTTTATTCAATTGTATATATATATTTAAATGTATATATATATATAAATATATATATATATATGTATATGTATATATATATATATATACATATATATATATACCTGATGAATTACATATAACAATATCAAACACCTGATGAACTACATATACCAATATCACTCACTAACTCTATTGTACTGATTATGGTAAAGTTTACTGAAAAAAGCTTTTATGTAAATATATATATATATATATATAAAATGCAGTCTATAGAAATTTTATTATTTATTTGAATAAATTGAATAATATATTTTTATAATATAATATAATAATATATATATATTTTTGTGTGTGTGTGTGTGTGGTGTGTTTGTGTGGGTATGGTTGTGTCTTTGTGTGCCTGTGTGTAAGTATAAATGAATGAAAAATAAATTTTACTTTTACTTATTCAAAAATTTTCAATTTTGCACATAAACTATTTTAACGTGTTGATGATTGTTAATATCAGATTAATGAAGCCTGCATTGAAAACGAATTCAAGTCTAACAGGAAAACCTGAACTCTCCGGGGTTTTATCACCATGGTGAACATGATTGTGCTGTATTGTATATTGCCTTGCACAGAATTGTTTTATATTGTTTTGTTTTATATTGTATTTTATTGTACTAATTTTTTTATTGTGTTGTATTGTAGACTTATGATAGACTATATATTGGTAAGGGCCAAACATAGAAAGTATGTGAAGAATGTGAAGGCGATACCTGGTATGCTGCAGCATAGTATGGTTGTGATGGATATGACATCAAAAGAAATGGGGAGGAGGAAGAAGGATAAGTTTGTAGCAAAGAGAAAGACATGGAAGTTGCAGGATGCAGAGGTGAGGAAGGCATTTGAAGTGAAGGTGGCTGAAAATTGGGAGAGTGGTAAGGATGGAGATGTTTGGGAGAGATACAGGGACTATGTGTTGGCTACGGCAGATAAAGTATGTGAATGGACGAAAGGAAAGTGTAGGCATGGTGAGACGTGGTGGTGGGATGAATATATAAGAAGGATTTTGGAGGTCAAGAAGGAGAGGTTTAGGGTATGGAGAAGGAACATGACGGTGGAAGCGGAGTCTGAGTATAGGAAGGTTAAGAAGGTTGCAAAACAGGCAGTGGCAACTGCAATGACGAAAGCATCAAATAGGTTAATGAAGGAAATGGAATTTGATGTGAGTTTGAGGAAAATGTTCAAAGTAGCAAAGCAGTCAATGAGGGATAGGAAAGATGTTATAGGGAATGGATGTGTTTGGGATGGATCTGGCAAGTTGTGCATAGATGAGGAGGAAAAAGCTCAGGTGTGGAAAGCTCATATGGAAAGGTTGATGAATGAAGAGAATGAGTGGGATGGAGATGTGGAATCCGCGGTCACACACGGACCTATAGAGAAGGTGACGATGGAGGAAGTAGAGAAAGCAGTTAGAGAAATGAAACTAGGTAAGGCGACAGGGGTTTCGGAAGTGGCGGCAGAACATATTAAAGCGAGTGGGGTGATAGGAATTGAAGTTATGATGAGAATTGCTAACAGTTTGTTTGATGATGAAGGTATACCTGAGGATTGGCGACACAGTGTGTTGGTGCCGTTGTATAAGGGCAAAGGAGATGTGAGAGATTGTGGGTCATATAGGGGTGTGAAATTACTAGAGCACGGAATGAAGGTAGTGGAGAGGGTGCTTGAGAAGAGGTTGAGAAATATGGTGACAGTTAATGAAATGCAGTGTGGGTTTATGCCTGGTAGGGGAATGGTGGATGCGTTTTTCATGGTGAGAATGTTGCAGGAGAATTATAGAAAGAAGAAACGAAGATTGTACATGTGTTTTGTGGATCTAGAAAAGGCTTTTGATCGAGTACCGAGGAAGGTCATTGATTGGGCGTTGAGGAAGAAAGGAGTGAATGAGAGACTTGTTAAAGCTGTGATGCAGCTTTATGAAGGGGCAAAGACAAAGGTGAGGGTTGGAAGGGGGATGTCGGACGCTTTTAGTGTTAAGGTAGGAGTGCATCAAGGATCAGTGTTATCACCGTTGCTGTTTGCAATTGTGATGGATGCTGTGTGTGGAAACATAATGGAAGGGTTGTTATTTGAGATTTTGTATGCAGATGATTTAGTCTTGATGGCTGATAGCATGGAAGAATTGCAGTTAAAATTTGACAGATGGAGAAGTGTTATTGAAAAGAAAGGGTTAAAAGTTAATATTGGTAAGACGAAGGTAATGGTGAGTGGGGAAGGTGGGGAGCGAGTGATAAGTAAAATAGATCCCTGTGGGGTATGTGACAGGAGAGTGAAGGCTAACTCGGTATTGTGTATAGGATGTCAAAAACGGGTGCATAAGAGATGTAGTGGTGTGAGGGGGGCACTGAAAAAGGTGGAAGGCACGTTCAAATGTAAGAAATGTGTTCATGGTGTGATTAATAGGACGGACGCAAGGACGGGGCTGAGTGGTGGTATTGAAAGAGTGGAAAGCTTTGTTTACTTAGGGGATAAGCTGAACGCGGATGGAAGATGCTTGAGCGCAGTTACGGCTAGAGTTCGTGTGGGATGGATGAAATTTAGGGAACTGGGTGGGGTATTGTGTGGAAAGAAATGGTCAGTGAAGATGAAAGGGAGGGTATATAAAGCATGTGTGAGAGCAGCGATGGTATATGGTGGTGAAACTTGGGTGTTGAGGAGAGAGGAGGAAAGTGTACTGCAGAGGGCTGAAAGACCTATGGTGAGGATGATGTGTGGGGTTAAAGTGAAAGATAGGAGGAGTAGTACAGAGCTGATGTCAATGATGGGACTGAATGAGGACATTGTGACATTGATAAGGAGATCGAGATTGCGGTAGTATGGACATGTGTTGAGAAGGGATGAAAGGGTCGGGATTAGGCGAGCGTTGGAGTTCGAGGTTGAAGGAGTGGTAGGAAGGGGTCGTCCGCGATTGGGATGGAGAGAGCAGGTGGAGAAGGACAGGGTGAAAGCGGGGTTGCGTGATACTGAGGCGAGTGACAGATGTGGATGGCTTCGAGGGGTATTTCGGTTTCATCATAGGTAGCCAAACGGCAACCCCCGATCTCGGGGAAAATGTCGTCTAAACGTGTGTTGTTGTTGTTGTTGTGGTATTGTAGACTTGTAGAGCGTCTCTATTGAGTTATCTCCAGAGGCGCTAATTATGCTTCGTTATGTTGAAAAAATGATGTTTCGGCCGGCTTCTGAAGACCTGACGACTAATGTTAGTATCGACTTTTAGGTCAAGCGGCAATGAGTTCTAAATTTTAGCTGCTTCAACCATTGTGTCGGATGAAAAATATCCGACTTAGGCCCCTCAAAAAATTCCGACTCCTTAAATGGATGATAAACAGGATGTCTGCGTTTTTCTGATTTCAGTCGATTTCTTTAAGGAACATACGAAACTTTCCAATTAGACAGTTTTTTTTACCATGAAAACTATTTTGAATCGTATTCTGTCCTTCAGCGATAGCCAGTGAAGTAATCAGAAATTTTGTCAAATTTATAGACTCGAGCAGTTAGTCTAGGGGCAGACCTCAAAGCCGATTGCCAGTTGACTTTTTACACACCATACAGAACGGAATTTTGGTGATCATACTGTGTACATTCAAGGCTGTACACATAACCAGATTTCTTGTAGACTCTTCTGAGAGATAACGTATGATCATATCTTATTTTATGAAGCTGGTAAAAGGATCATTGTCAGAGACGTTTTCGATCATCTTTCGTAGGAAGGCCTGGGCCTAGAACTACGCCAAGATCAACAACTTGTTTATTGAGGTTATTCAAATAAATTTCGTTATATTGTTGAGTTTTAGTCTATTTGCTGACATCCACTCTTGTGTTGAATTGCACTGTATTACACTGAGTTGTGTTGTATCTTATAGTATAGTAAACCCTTTGACGCTCGTTACTACCTATACCAATGTTATAACTTCGAAAGATCTTTATATTTCCATCACCAGTGTTGTAGCTTCAAACGATCGTCATGTTATCGTTATTTCGTAGGTTCAATATTTTCGATAGATGAACACAACTGCTTCAAACGCAAACTTTGTTGAACGTTTATTTGAATGCCAACAGTAATAGAAACACTAAGCTAATCCAACTAACTACTGAAATCACAATTACAACTTCGCATCAAACCTCTCTTCAAACCTCTCTTCTTCCTTCGCTATTTAACCTACTTAAACACAAGAATTCTTAAAATCCAAATCCAAAGATTATAAATATAGCAAAGATAACAATAATAACGAATAATCATAATAACAAATAATATAGCGCAATTTGACCATTGGAGCGGTTACAACAATAGTATTATGTTGTATCGTATTGTATAGTATTGTATTGTACTGAATTGTGTTGTACTGTGCAGAATTGTGTTGTAAAGTATTGTATTGAATGGTATTGTGTTACATTGTACAACTCTTCTTATGACGTCGATGACGTCGATGATTGTTATTATCATGGTGGATTAATTATGGTGAAGAAGATAATGGTTATTTTAATCATGAAACCAGGGCCAGGGTGGTACTGAGGATGATGATGATTATTATTATAGTGTTATAATAGTGTTGTTAATTATGTTGGTTTTATTGATACTTTTTTGAAAGTGTTGAGAGCCAGCAACGTTCATCCCTACGCAGGAAATCCAGCAATAATCAGCAGGGCATCCATGCTTCTGCATCCTATTCCACTCCACAATGCGTCAACAACTATGAAATTTCTCCATCAACTCGTTCCAACAAGACAATTTATCCTCCTTCACAACAACAACATTTGCAATACAGCTCCAGTAGAAAACAATTTGGCTTTCGTCAACAGCAACAGCAAGAGGAATCAGCAGAGTTGCACAGTGGCAATCGTCTTACTCAACAAGAGAAACAACTGCAAGAATTATTTCAATCACAACTTCAGCAGTCTTACAACCCACAACAACGCCAACAATTTCTTCAACAGCATCAACTAAACCAACAACAAAGTCGACCAAATTTTTCTCAATTCAAAGCTAATAACAACATTATTTCATACGATACCAACTCTAGTTACGTGACCCCCAATGTTAAGTCATTCATCAACCAACATCAATCATCTCAACAATCTCTGACACCTCAACAGCAAACACCACAACAGCCAACACAACAGCAACCACAACAACCACCACCACATCAGACACAGCAACAAGCAGCAGCAACAACAGCGCAACAACTTCAACCGCAACAAAATTCTCCAGCTCCATCTAACTTGCTTCGAAATATAAGCGGTCGACGAACAGTTCATGCCGGGACGGTGCACGATCGCAAGAAGCTGGAAGCCGCGCTGGAGGGTGTTAGCAAAATAAAATTTGATGGAGATATATTCGGGAGTGCTTGCGATGCTAGGATTGGATGGATTGACAAAAAAAAAAGTTCCGAGAAAGAGGAAATTAAAGTGAGAAAGCCCGAGGATGGATCCAAGCAAGCGGTTGATGCTGCCTCTACAAACGTCAAACCTGCCAAATCGACCATCGGCAGGAGTGGGAGATTTTCCTTCCTCAATAAGCTGGCTTCTAAATTAGGAAAAAGTTATTACTTATATTTTTCCTTTGTAAATTTGCCTAAATTTACCTAATTTTATTTTGATATTTGATATCTAAAGCATGGTTGAAAATTTTTGTTGCAGATAAACAATAGAAAATTAGTTTCATTCGTGCTAGTGGTTGGGACCAGATTATGCCGGATTTTACAGATTTTATACAACGAATCATTTTTTAATTTACTTCAAAATGGTTTTATACGTTGAATGCTATCTTATGCGTGTATATATATATATATATATATATATATATATAATACAATATATATATATATATTATATATATATATATATATAATACAAATTTTTTGTACATACAAATATTTAAATATTTTTTTCATGATTCACGTAGACTCTCTTGTTTGTATTCCAGTTATATTTTCAATCATCATGTTTTCCACTCTTACATAAACTTACGTTTACACACACACACACACACACACACACACACACATATATATATATATATATATATATATATATATATATATATATGTATAATATATATAATATAACATGTGAATTCAGTGTTTACTACAATTTTAGTTACTATTGTAGACAATATTTATTTTTTGTGAACAGTGAAACCGTTTAATTTTGTATCCATACTTGATTGGTTCTACATTATTTTCATCATCCCTTTTTATTCATATTCTTCATTATTTATGTCATTTTTATTATTATTATTATAATTATGTTATAATTTTTATTATTTTTATTATTGTTTTTTATTTTTCCGATTATCGTTCATTGGATTATTTTTCATTTAAGTCACTATTATGTTGGTTGAAATAATTTCTTGTTGCTCATAATTTAACGCTACCTGAGGGCGTTGCATCGACCCTCTTCATCCTTACAGCTTCAGTCCGCCACGATCTTTAAAATATTAATTCTATTTTTTTTTAAGTGTATTAACTTGTGTGAACTAAAATTTATAAGCGCTTATTAACATACTATAACACACACACACACACGCGTGCACACAAACACACATACTACATACGCTCAAAACACAAACTACTACAAACAGCCTCACAACTATATTTTCAGTCAACACGGGGCCAGCTACGATCATTCTGATTGCCTTTGTGCTGTTTTTTGCTACATATATATTTGTTATGTATTGTATATTTTCGCACCAATACGATTATTGTATTTTAAATAATGGTTATTTTCGTCACATCAATACTACTTTATTTGATGTATTGTAATTAATTCCAGCCAAAATTAATGAAGCAATCGTCATTATCATCGTCGTCGTTATTATATTCATTAGGCAATCCAGTTATCAGTCATTTACATTTTCACATCATTCATTTTCATCTCCGCTTTTGTAATAATTTATACTAACATCATCATCACATACGTAGATCCTCATCACATTCATCATCATTATTACGTAAATCAGATACATACATCATCACATATGTCATTATTTCATACACATCACATGAATCCTAATTATCATCAGATACATTACCGTCATCACCAAAAATATAACATCATTATTACATACATCACCATCGTCATCAGATACATTACCATCATTAGCACATACGTAATCATCATTAGCAAGAGTCTTGATGTTGTTTTCCTACAAGTATAAATATTTGTTTTGATTTTGTGCCTTTCTTTCGTTTATTTTTATATTTAAGCGTAATTTTAATCATCGGCTGATGAAGATAATGATAATGCAGACAAATTAAATATTTAAAAAATAAATTATTGTAATGATGAAATCATATTTTAGCCTTCATTATTTTGCTAGTTGCAAATTTTATCCAATAGTGAGCAACTGTTTTATTATTTTATTGAAGTAATTAATTTCATATTTTGATCGTCGACATTTTTATTATTTAACAGAGAATTTTCAATTATTTATTAATATGTATTTTCGTGAAAATCTTTATCTGAATGAAGGACAAACTAAATAGTTCTTTTACAATATATTTGATAACTTAGTAGGCTACTTGAACTTATGAACTCCATCATGAAACTATCATAAGTGCAGTTCTAAGCATGTGTTTATTAGTTTTTTGATGCTCACATTTCATCCATGCGTGTTCTTGTCCTCTAATATTAGTTTTCCTACATGTACACGTCTTTCTTCATACCTCTACATATTTCACGCAAAGAAAATGACAATGCCTTTGTTACGAATACATTTCAATGTTTTCACAGGTCGTGCGTTTCAATTGCAACCATGTTTCATTCTTCCCCTGGGTAAGCTTCTCCAACTCCAACTCCAACCATGTTTTCATAATTTTCTGGTCTATCTCCTTCAACTCCAGCTATATTTCCATGTTTTTCTGAAACATCTCCTTCAATGCAATCATATTTCCATATTTTTCTAGTACATCTCCTCCAACTCCATCCATATTCTACCTATTATTTAGTCAATCTCTTCAATCTTCTTTTCTTTAGTTGTTAGCATTTTTAAAATTGATGAAATTTTTTTAGAATTGATTTCGACGTTAAAAGGAATCAGAAGAAAGTTTTCTTTTTTGTTTAACCTATTTAATGATAAAATTATTTCATTGATATGTTATTCAGTAGATGGCATTTTATTTAACAGGACTGGACGATTTAACAAAATACAAAGTCTACGAATTTTAATTAGTTTCGATTGAAATATTTTTTATTACGGTGTGTTTACAATGGAGACTCCGGAGAGGACTTTTTGATAGCCGAACGGAGCCGGATAGTTAAGAAAGATATCAGTCGGATACCGTTGCTAGATGTCTTTTAAATAACTTTAATTACTGAACTATTCACAAAACGCCTGAATAAGTTGCCTTTCTTAATTTTATGTTAATTTTACTTTTTCCACAACGTAGAAAAAGGCCCTGTATATCCGGTGCATGGAGATTTATAAAATTAAACTTCAGAAAATATACATTAGTGCTTATATTATTAATATTAAGCATGCTAGGGGTAGGCAAACATTTTACTGTGAGGGCCGCGTTGAAAACTATTTCTGCCGGACTGAGGGCCGCAAGTTGACCGGTGGGTTTTACAACATAAAGAACATCCAACATAAACTTGTTGACTGGGGGGAAATTTTCACAAACTTGTTTTTTGAACATTTTTCTGGGCTCACGATAGGACCAACATTTTCACGGGAGGGGAGCCGATTTTTTTGTTGATGGGCTTATAATGTCAACTTTCCTTTCAAAAACACTACTTTTCCGTTAAAACAACGACTTTCACTAACGTTTAACACCAATAACGTTCATAATGGGGGCCGCCCCCTTAACGGTGGCGATGTTGGTTAACATCAATTGTGAAACAAGAAATAAAAAAAAGCTAAATATATAATATACATATATGAATAAATTAAATAATTAATATTAGAGAATTTATACGGCGCAATTTAATACCACACAAAGGCGTTTCCAGTTTCGCCACTGCGGGGAGCAACATTGTGGCTGACTTAAAATTAGAATTATTCTTGTCATTATTTATTTTATTAAAATTAGAATAATATACAGTTTTCTTATTCATTCTCGAGTATATAGGACCCTATTTCGATTTTTCAATTATCTTCAGTAGTTGTTGCAGTTTATAATAGAGACTTTCGTTCGTCAATGTTTATATGTACGGAAAACAGAATAGTATACACCTAATTCCAGATGATCACAGTCCGCACCAGTTTTGTTCTCGTAACACCGGCATCAGCAATCACAACAGCGCTTTATTAATAATGATAAATATATAACATAAATTATAACACACAAATATATCATATTATTTATATTGTTATTGTCGTTATTGTTATAAAATAAAATAGCCAGCCATGGAATCAGTTGAAATCAGAAATAAAGTTACGTGTTTATTGCTAAAAATAAAGCACGACAGCGTAAAAACTATGCGTCAGCATGCAGGATATTACAAACAATTCAATAAGTAATAATGGATTTATGTTGTTGATGTTGTCAAATCACATGCTCATTCAGTAGTTACCGGCGTTTTATTAGTAAAATGGTTAGTTGTATGAAGCATGAATGTAGAATAAACAATATATATATATTTCCGGGTTGTTGTGTTTGTAACAAAGTTTTTTCAAGTTTTCGAACAAATTTTTATCGATATTATTCAATTTATTAAAATTAATAATAAGATTTTTAATTATTTTAGACTATGCATTTACATAAAAACTTTTTTCGGTAACCTTTAACATCATCAGTGTAATAGAGTTTGTGATATTGTTGTATGTAGTTTATCTGGTATTTATAGTATTCTTTACAAAGGAACTCAAAGTTCTATTGTTTCTTTGTGTGAGTAATTTCTTTATTGATAGGATCGTTGCAGCCTGTTGACTTTGTTGGAAGGTTTGTTACAGCCTGTTACACACACACACACACACACACACACACACACACACACACACACACACACACCACACACACACACACACACACACACACACACATATATATATATATATATATATATCGGAAAATCACTAAACACGTCTGTTCTTCAAAGTTTGGTTTCCTCTCTCATTTTTTCCAGACTGGACTATTGCATTAGTCTTTTTTTTAGTGACACCAAAAGGTCTTTTTCAAAGCTTCAGTCAATACAGAATCGTGTGGCCAAGCTAGTTTTGGGTGGTTTGAGGTTCGAACATGTTACACCTATTTTGAATAGGTTGCACTTGTTGAGGGTTGAGAAACGTGTTTTCTTCAAGTTAGCAGTTTTGATGTTTAAATATTTTTTATCTCGATTACAAAATAAGCGACGGGCTCCTGCAACTTTGCGGTTTTTGTCCCGGTTGTTGGAATGGTTGCCTCCTTACTTACGTAACCCTAACCTACCATATTTACAATTTCGAAGTCAGCTTAAAACTAATTTATTTGCACAATGAACGTCCGTTTTATTTGTCTATGATTCAGTAGCGCTTTTGAGTTTCACAAAATAAAAAGCGCTGTATATAAATTTTCGTAACAATAATAATAATAGGCCGGAAGACCATAATTGAAAGAATTTTTAGCTTTTGAAAGTTTACGGTTGAGCTTTTCAATATTTCTAACAGT